AAATGAAAGGTTACGTGCCCTTGGCATGCTACAGATCGGCACAACACAGGCGGTTGTGGCGCGGACGATGAATGTTTCTCAGTCTGTCATAAGCAGGCTATGGTCCAGATACCGTGATACACAATCTGTACAGGACAGACCACGCTCAGGTCGACCAAGGGCGACAACTCAAGCCCAGGATCGATTTATCCGTACCTTGGCCTTGAGAAATCGTGTCATCACAGCAAAGCAGATCAGCGCTCGTCTTCAAACAGACACTGGTGTGAGAGTGAGTGGCCAGCCGATTCGGAATCGACTGCATAGGGGTCACCTTCGCGCCCGACGTCCTCGCGTGATCCCTTGTTTGAGAGATCATCACATTCAGGCAAGACGTCGTTGGTGTAGGGATCGTCAACACTGGGATAATCGACGCTGGAGCAATGTGATGTTTTCAGATGAGTCAAGGTTCACTGTTGATTTTTTGGACAGACGTAGGAGGGTGTGGCGTCGTCGAAACGAGCGCTTCCAAGACGTTAACGTCATCAGACATGATCGATTTGGGGGTGGTTCTGTTATGGTGTGGGGAGGCATCACTGTTGCTGGAAGAACGGCTTTACATGTTGTTGCAGGGCGTGTTACAGGCCAGTACTACCGGGACAACATCTTGGCAGTCCATGTTGTGCCGTTCGCACGACGTCATGGCCGCCGTTTCATCTTCCAGGATGACAACGCAAGATGTCACGGGGCCAGGATCGTTACAGGTTACCTCCAACAACAGAACATCACCACATTACCTTGGCCAGCACTGAGTCCCGACCTCTCCCCCATCGAGCATGTCTGGGACATGCTTGGACAGAGGTTACGTCAACGTCAACAACGTCCTGCCAATGTCCAAGAACTTGCTGCTGCGTTGCAACAGGAATGGGACAATCTGGACCAAAATGACCTTAGACGTCTCATTAGGAGTATGCCACGTCGGATCAATGCTTGTTTGGCAAACAGAGGAGGATTTACCCGTTACTGACTTGGTTGTGATGCTGTGGTAACTTTGCTGTTTGACCCCGGGTATCATTTTACCCTTATAATGGTCAATCTGTGCCTTACTTAGTCTAACGATCATTTGGAATAAATCGATGAATGTGAACTTCATTTCATTTTGTCATTTGTTTCTTCGTCAGTTTCATTAGGTGACTTTAATAACACTTAAAAATCAAATATCCCCTACTTTTTTTGAATAGTATATTAAAGCCCGGAGTGGTCACTGCAATTTTTATCATCAACGTCTTATAATAAATAATTATAGCACCAAACCCCAGTTAAGTATTGTGGGATAATATTATCAATTCAAGACATTGTTTTGCCATGTTCGCATTTCAGCAGAGTGGTTGTTGTTTCTTTCAATAAACCTGAAAGGGATTGGGATTTTGCTTCAGGTGCCGAGTTAATAGCATGTGATTGAAGATTGGAGAAATATTATAATATATATGTAAACAGTTCGTCTAATACCGCTAACCTTGAAATCTGGGTCTTTGTTAGGACTATACTAATGTCTAAAATAGGTCGCGAGATGTAAATTGGGTTAGAGTATGTGATTGTTGATGAAATTGTGGGTTAGAGTTAGGGCTAGGTTTAAGGTTAGGGTTAGCGCTAGCCCTGTTTACATCTCGTGACCTTGGCGAAATCAACAGGTGGCTTTAATATTTAGACCTAACCCTAAAATAGGGTTATAATTTTTATTTGAAGCCTCTGATCGTCATTTGAGAGATTTCCCCTGCAACCCACTCACTATTCATGTATTTTGAAAGCTGGAACGCTAATAGGAATATCGGGTCAAGAATAGTTCAATTCAGTACTGGCAACATTGTGTATTTTTATCAGTCTGATTAAAACACAGATCGTTTTTCGTTTCGTTTTTATAGTTCAAAATATGATTTTACTTACCTTTATACTAAACTAGGACATGGAAGTGTTCTTAGATAACCGCCGTGCTGTTTGATGTGAGGGACAGCTCCGACTAAACCGGGGTGGGACCCCTGGGACCTTGATCATGTGTGTGGGGATCGCCAACCTAACACACCTGACCAGAACGCATATGAATGTAACGACAGCAAACTTAATTTGAAGTCGGTCAGTGATAAATACGGAGGCCGTAAAGTTACAGGTCTAGTAGCACAACAATATGTAACCAAAATATTGCCGTTCAAGAAATGAAAAATGAAATGGGGTTTAACGTCCTAATGTTCTGTTCCGACTGGGATAATTTGCAGTTTAAGAGGATTTTAATGCATTTTCTGGCCTTTCCCGCTAAATACCAGTGGAAAGTGCGTCGCGGCATCGCCGGATTACATCGAATTTGCGGATGTCAACCGCAACACGGACCTACCATGGATTGAAGGGGTCCCAATGTCTAGGACTTTGAAAATTCGATGGATGGTCTCGGAGGGCCTCATCATTGCCACTCGGTCCAACCATTCTCACATTGATTTTTGCGAAACAGAAATTTTTTTGTGAGGGGTCCTACCGTGCCCCGTGGTTAATCCGGGGCTGATTTGACTTCTTATCGTCTGGAAAAGGGGTAGTCAGACATTCGAAGCGATAGAAAACAAATCAAAGCAAGAGTTTTATTTCCGAATAGCCACTTGAAACACCGACGCTGATTGGTTAAGAGAATGACTGGCGTCACAGAGTAAAAAATCACTCGTATGATACCCGGCTCTACCTCATCATGTCGTGGAGGCCATCGAAAGTATAAACCAGCGGTTATTATTCAAGATACGTCCACATTTTGCAAAATTGGGCAGAGAACAAGCTTAAAAGGCGATTTTTCGTACAAACAGGGGCCATAATCCAGAATGTTACGGTCCGACATGCGACAATATCAAAAAGATCTTTGGGGTATATATTTAAAGATACATTATGGGAGATTCGGTAACGAGTTGGCAGTTCTCACTATACTAGTTAAAAACTAGATAATGTAAAGGCAATTTGGTGAAAATTTCATTCAAATTGATCCACTATGAACCGAGAACTAAGCGACTGAAATTCCCATAAGCCTCGGTCATCACTACTAAAGTCAGTACGATAAACAGCATAGTCTCGATTATCTATTTAATCGTTTAATAGAGAAGGAAAGTTATGCAGTAAATCGGCTTACAATCCACTAAAGATCGCAGGCTAGCGCTGCCATCTGGAGTTGATTATGGCCTGGATAGGTTAATTAATGTCTAATTAATAATTTAGATAACATTTCAGGCCTAAAGAAAGACCTGAAATAGGCAGATTTAGCTCTTGCATAATGCATGTTTAAAGTTTCATCAAAATCGGATACAAATTGTGACCTCTAGAGGATCCACATTAACCTTGGTGTTACATACTAAATTAGACTATTAGCGTACGAGGAGCGGCTATTTTGTCGGGCAGTTTCGGTATAATTTTCACGAATTCAACCGTCATTAGGGTCTAACAGTGATATATTTGAACGGGTTTTAAAATCAGGATACAAATTGTGATCTCTAGAGTGTCCACAAGATAAAAACGTAATTTTTAGTTCAATCATGTGTAGTACCATGGGTCTTTTGTCAGACGTGGAAAGGGGTCATCAAACCCGGTCACCACATCCTACGTATGGCCCATGCACTCTCTTCTTACTACATTTCTTAATAGCCTAGTGATCGTCTATTATTGTCTCTGGTTATATTCGTTTCTTATTCTCTTCTTAGGACTCACGTTGTGTATATTTTATCTCTGTTGCTAAGACGGTTATTTTCTCATTAGTTAAGACGTTTGTCTTACCAGGAATAAAAATGCAACAGTTCGTTTTTACATTTTATATATCACGCTGGGTACATAGTTACAAGCATGGACTACAATAAAGTCAATCTCACAGACTCGCTGCAGGGAGTCTGCTGATAGAAATTGCTATATCTTCTCCCTCTGGAATCTACCGGATGTCTGTCTAATGCCCAGAGATGGGCTATGATAGTTTTCTAGCTTTGAGGTTTGGCTGTCAAGTATCTAATTGGTCAAATATTACGTAATTAATTAGAGCCTAATGATTGGTTAATTAGCCTAATGACGTCGAAAACCACCTGTGTTATTTTGTTATTAATCCAGAATTAAATGTTTGCCAAATTATAACTCTTTTTATGTGTAAATCCGTCACTTATTATTTGAGTGCATTAGACCTGACTTCTATAAAATGTGTGAACCAAATCATTAATTAAAGATATAATATCATTAATTCAATCTTACTACACATGGGGTCCGAGATCGTTGGGCGATAAATCTTTAAATTTCAAGTTTTGTCATACTCATCATAATCGGATAAAAATTGTGACCTGTGTACAGAGTGTAAACACAAACGGACAAGGGCGAATACAATATACGCCCACACGAAAATGTGTGCGTATAAAAACGAAATAAAATATAGATCTGTAATTCAATCAGCTTTTTTGGAGAAAGAGTCCAGGTGGATAACACGACGTTCCCCCAACAACCACATGATGGTTTTACCAGTTTACTTGGCCCTAATACTGTGGTGATGTTATTAAAACGATGAGATAGATTTTACATGGCCACTATCAGCTACCATAATTCAGTCAGCCATTCAACTCACTTAAGTTGGTTTGATCGACCACCTTCAACTTTCAACTCATTCATATCTGTTGACTGTTATACTCTGTATTTAAAAGATAACTACCAATAATGAAGTTCAGTGTACGACTTACGTAATGACCTTTATATCTAGAATATTTATTAATTCGTTGAGTCGTTTAAGACCAGATTTACGCCTTCTGAATTATTGCACATCGAAATACGGAAGATTCATTGGTATGGAAGTTCACGATACTGCAAAACAGGGCTACCAGGAGGTATATCATATGCTACATATTGTGTATGTGTTCAATCTCCATTATTAGCTTTCATGTAGGGACAGCAACCCGATGTCTTCTTTATTTAATTCGTTTAGCTGCGTAGTTGTGCAGTCGCATCAAAGGCAGTACTATGATTTGAAACGGTGGCCCAGGCCCCAGTTGCCACGGAAGATCATTAGTAAACCAGCTTGGAGCCTGGGAAGCATTCTAAGCTCTAGCTATCAGCATCCTTTCGGGGTCACAGGATTGAAACGAAGTGAAATGGGGTTTAACGTCAACCGAGCTAATGAAGACGGACTGGTTTGTACCATAATGAGTTATATCAAAGCTTATGTTATCAGACCATTAAATTATTCATCAGAATATGAAATAACATGTTGTTGTTGGCAGCTGCTAAACTGGTATCTGTGATATGGGTAGATAGTCAAGCTGCTTTGTCAGAACTTTGGGCAGTATCAGAAAAGCCTCAAAGGATATTGCAGTGGAATACACACTTTATCCCACCCCAGTATCTACATGTACTTTGTTCTATTACATTAACAGGGCTCATTTTATGATGCAAATAGGCCAAGTTATACAGATGAAGCAGTGGATAAGATATTGGAGTTGATTAGGAATATAGAGTTGCCTAAAGGCCAAGGTAAATAGAAAAACAATATCTATAAAATTATAAATGATTGTAACACACTCTAAATTCAAGAAAGTTCTTTTTATGGCTGTAGGGCGTTAATGTGTACAACTTTTTTGAGTTGGTTGATACCAGATTGTTGTAAAAGTATGAGATACGATATAAAACTCTACATTTGTATTCTTTTAAAATCTTTATTGTTTAGCAAACTCTCTACAATATGATATAGTGGAACTTGGGGCCGGAACTGGAAAATTTACCACAAAATTAATAGAGAAATTACAGGCAAGTATATATGTCCATTTTTTTTTGGGGCAATTATAACCTACATGTTTCAATGATAATAATTTGTTTTCCCTCACAGTGTAACCGAATGGTCTTCATGAAAAACTCATTCGCGTAAAAATTTCTGTTACACCTGTATTCGATGTCAAAAGAGAGTTGATGGTCGTAATTAAACCATGGGTTCTATCCAAACCGGCCGCTTGAGTTAACAATTGACCGAAACCCAGCTATCCCTCTCCCCCCGTAAAACTAGCACTATTAAGCAAGTTTTATCCAGATAGACACTTAAAGGTTCGAAAGGCATTTTACGCAAACCTCTAAAAAGTATAATGTTTAATTTGTTATGTTTTTTTAAAGTCAGAGAAGTATTTGGCCACTGAACCATCCGAGAACTTTGTGAACACTATGAAGAAACATGGTATAGACGCACTACAATGTGCAGCAAATGACCTTCCCTTACCAGATAATTCAGTTAAAGTGAGTATTTCTTAAAATAACAAATTAAAGCTTATTTAGCTCTGATATATCCACCATTGTATAACAATTTTAGAAATGAATAAATGATTGTGTTCTCATTTGTTAAAGGCTATTGTTGGTGCTGAATGTTTTCATTGGTTTGCTAATGTAAAAAGTCTAACAGAGATTAACAGAGTTCTCGTACCAAATGGTCTTTTAGGTAACCACTTTTGACATCTATTCTAAAAATGAGAAACTGGTTTCTAAATCAAGTTTGAATTATAACTTAACCAATCTTTCTTTTTTTCATCTGCAATAAGATTTTAGAATATATATAAATTTAAAGGAGCTAAATTGCTAATACTTGGGACCTAGAGATTGACACAAATCGGTCGCAACGCATATAATAATGTAATGTATATAAACTGATTTACATTCAATTGTTTCTGTTTTTACTCTTAATTTCAAATCGGTTATGTTCGGCGAAATACGTCAGAAGTCTCAATCGAATTCCAATTTCTAGTGTCTGGTACTTCCAGTCTATACTGACAGTATTTATTGCGCACGCTCTCCAGTTAAGAATATGAGGTTATCGTTTGACCTGACTTGTTGAATATGTCTGTCCTTGTTATTCAAGTCCCTTGTTACAAATGGTGCTGAAACGCATTATGGTACACTATTCGTGTTTATTTTGTCTTAAATATTGGATGTCAGAAGCCCCTTTTCCAGGTAAGATCACAACATCAATGTTGATTCATATTGACAAATGATTTGTGTTTTCAATTTCAAAGACTTAGGATGATGTTGAGTTAGAGACTTAGCTACATTAGAGAAAATTGTCCCAAACCGAAGCTCAATCATTTGTATTTATTAAATATTTTCTATTGATAATTGGATTAGCAATTATTTAGAAACGGCATGTTACATAATGTAGTAAATGCATTATGACAAATTATTCTCGATTGACTGGTTGTTGATCTGGTGATTTCTGACAAAACTTTTCTCCTGTCCTGGTCCAACTCAGTACCCGGTTTGAGTCCATTCCTTGCTCCGGGAACTTTCTTGAAACCTCATAGGTTACGTATCTATTCGGATGCTTAATTTGTTTTCCTTGTCTTTATGAAAATCAACTCTCTGTTAGAGTACTTTTTTAACAAATTCGTGGTGGCTCACAGAGTAAGGCGCTATAACTCACTTACCATGTGGTCCCTGTTTCGATCCCCATGTTGGTCGAGAACTGTTCAGTTTAAGTTCCCCTTGTCAGTGATGCAGGGCAGAGGGCCGCTGTCGGGGTAAAATGTACCTCACAGCGTACTGCATAGCGTATGCTCGCCTTCAGTGCCTGTGAGAGGGTGGACAGCTGGGACACATGTCCAGGAACCTGGAGCTTAGAGGGGCCCGGAGGTATGCCAAGTAATGTTTTTTAAAAAGAATTGTTGGTATAAATTTACTAAAAAAAAAAAAATAACTGTTACTTGATCATAAAGTAGAAGAAAACTGGTGACTTTTTTGAATGTGGGTACCTAGTGGCGTGGGTAGGATTAGAATCGGATTCTGTCAGTCCACTTTTTTTGGAAGAATTGGTGAATTAAAAACTATAAGCAGTGGCTCCCAGGTCCGTCCTTGTTCTGTTTGAGACTCTCGTCAACTTCAGGGTATCCGGGCCTGTAAAACGCTACAATGATTGTGAGCGCACTCTGTCGCCAGTGATCATGCGCACAGTTGTCGATAGTTCTAGATGGGCTGATTGGTATCTGATCATTAACCAGTGGTTGCCAGGCAAGATACGCCCACATTTTGCAAGAGATGGATAGAGAACAAGCTAAAAAAAAAAATTTTTTCGTACAATCAGGGGCCATAATCCAGGAAATTATAGTCTGAAATGCGTGAATATCGAAATGGACTGAGATATTTGAAATATAAAGATATATTTTAAGTTTCATCAAAATCAGATAAAAATTGTAGCCTCTAGAGGGTTCACAACCTTGAAAGACCATATATTTACACTATTTGCATACGAGAGGAGGCCATTTTGTCAGGTAGTTACGATCTGATTTTCGAACTCAACCGTCATTTTGTCCGGCAGTTCTGGTCCTATTATCACGAAATTCGAACTCAACCATCATTAGGGTGTACCAACCAGTGATATATTCAAATCGGATAAAATAATTGTGACCTCTAGAGGGACAAGCTAAAAGCGCGATTTATCATACAATTAAGGGCCAGAATTCAGGAAGTTATGATCTGATATGCGCAAATATCAAAAGGAACCAGGATCTTGGGTTATAAACATGTATTTCAAGTTTTATCAAAATCGGATCATATACCATATTTTTCGTCCAATTTTTATGAAATTCGAGCTCAACCTTCATTAATGTGTAACAGTGATATATTTGAATGCTTTTTAAAATACAAATTCTGACTTCTAGCGGGTCCACAAGCTAAAAATGTGATTTTTCGAACAATCAGGGACCATAATCCAGGAAGTTAAGTTTGGATATGCGCGATTATCGAAAGGAACCAAGATCACTGTGATATAAACATAAATTTAAAGTTTCATCAAAATCGGATGAAAATTGTGGCCTCTAGATGGTCCACAACCTTGATATAACACAAGGTGCACAATTACTGAGTTTAATACTATGGGTCATGGGGGGTTGGATGGCCGAATGGTTAGCACATGCGTGCTGTATCATAAGGTCTGTCATTGAGTCAACTGGCATGGTTTCGATTCCCCGGTTGCACGTGACAAGTAGTAGGGTCGCCTCTCTAATCTCGTGGGTTTTCTCCGGGTCCTCTGATTTCCTCCCACTGCTAAAGACCCCTACGCGCAAGCGAATTATTGAAATAAAATTGAACCATATGTTAGTTCCAAAATGACCTACATGTAGTTTGTGTCGAGTGGACTTTAAACCCCATCTCTGTCTCTCTCTCTCTCTCTCTCTCTCTCTCTCACTAAGCCAGGTTTTGTTTCCACAGTATCCTCGCGTCTTTACAATATTTGCGTAGAGGCGGCTATTTTATCTGGCAGTTTTTGTCCGATTTCAGGAAATTCGAACTCTACCATCATTAGGGTGTGACAATAATATATTCAAAAGTTTTATTTTAAATCGGAAAAAAATTGTGACCTCTAGATATAGTGGCACAACAAGCTAAAAACATGATTTTTCGTACAATCAAGGGCCATATTACAGGAAGTTACGATCTGATATGTGCGGATATCAACACAAACCAGGATCTTTTGGTTATAAACATGTATTCATCAAAATCGAATCAAAATTGTGACCTTTAGAGGGCCCACAACCATACATATTTAGATACATATTTCAAATATTTTATTAATATGACATACATTTCGGATATTTATATTATAATACATGTAAATACTAGATATTTCAAAATTCTTAAAAATATATAAATACATATTTCAAAATATACTTTATGTAAATAAATATGTTATAAGAGGTATCTATTTTGAATGGAGTTGTACCTTTAATGTGTGTTTTCGAGCAGGTCAGGTGTTGGTCGTGAGTTACAAAGTTAGATGAATTAAATTAAAAATTAACGAATATCAGTCTGGAGAGGCGGGTTGGTTGGAAATTGCATAATACTATTTAAAGTAAAAGATCTTTAGGTGGATAAATGGTTAATTTAGTTGTGATACTTAACTAAACTGAATCGTGGAGTACATATTGGCCTATCACGTATTGTCAGAACAAAACAGATGACATTGGACAAAATGTAGTAACACCGACTCTAAAACATTATAATACATATATATTCATTAATTCATTTCAAATTAGATATTGTAGTAAATTATAAGATATTTTGCGGTTGTTATAGTATTACTTGTATATAGGAGGTTTTATTCCGATTGTGTTCTCTCGCAAATAATTTTACACTATTTGCATACAAGGGGCGGCTATTTTGTCCGGCAGTTTTAGTCCAATTTTCACGAAATTCAAACTCAACCGACATTACGGTGTAACAGTGATATATTCAAATGGTTTTTTTTTTAAATCGGATAATATTTGTGACCTCTAGAGGGACCACAAGCTAAAAACGCGATTTTTCTTACTATAAGGGGTCATAATTCAGGTGAAAATTGTGACTTCTAATGTGTCCACAAGCTAAAAACGTGATTTTTCGTACAATCAGGGGCCATAATCCATGAAGTTTTGATCCGATACATGTCAATATTGAGAGGAATTGACATATTTTGGAGATAACCCTATATTTCAAGTTTCGTCCAAATCGGATAAGAATTGTGACCTGTAGAGTGTCCACAAACAAATTGTGGACGGACGTCCGGACAGACAGGGGCAACAGAAATATATGTCCACATGAAAGTGTGGGTGTATAAAAACAAAACTGAAAAGGAAACTTTTATTTTGTCTTCATTTCGTTAGGCGATAAAAATCTCGATGTTTTTCTATATTTGTTCCAATTGCGGACCTTTTTCCGACCAATTATAGCGAGGTTTTTAATTTTCCAATATCATGTATATCTGATTATTATTACATCAGTAAAACTAAAACGTAGTATACATGTATTTTGTATCATATGTTGTTCTGTTAAATCTCAGTTTCTGCATTCTGGCCCCGTCTTCATTAGCCCAGGTTAGGAGCAGAACATATAGGACGTTAAACCCCATTTCATTTCTGCATTCTGGCAAAGTGACATCCAGTTACGACAGTTGCTTGTCGCAGGGCCTGTAGGGCCTTGTCACGGGCCTTGCTTGCTTTTATTTACCCCATTGGTAAAAGGGGGGGGGGGTATACATTCTTCTTTACTTATCATTATAAAGCGTACCGAGTTATGGTCACTTTTTTTGTAAATAAAAAGATTATGGTACCGACTCAAGGGCTTTAGTAATTTTTAAAATAAATATTAGATTTATGCGATAAGATAAGCTTATATAATAACTCCTTATTACTGTAATTACAATGCAGAAACAGTAGAATATATCTTCTTCCAAGTATATATTTAAAGAAAGTTCTTTGTGGGAGAATAATATATGGGAATTTGAGGTATATTCATTATGGATTATAATACTGATATTATAAATAATATTTATAAAGTGATTATAATTAATATCTTATCTTACAACAGTTTTGGTATGGAACAGAAAAGACCAGGATGTACCTTGGGTGGATGAATTACTGAAGAGTGTTGAGTCTTACATGGGAGACAACCCGCCACCCCAATACTTCGATATGAAATGGAAAGATGTTTTTAAACATGTAAAATATATCCAACATGTACAAGATTACAAATTGAAAGGCATCAAATTTGAGGTATCGAGATATTCATTATTCCTATAACAATTATAAGAATGCCGGCGAAAATCTACCACAGTTTACTGCATACCAATCATTATTCATCGGTTATGGAAATTAGGCGACAGGAAGTGCATTCTTTATGTCTCGGTCACCCAGAACCTCCTAGTCTTCAATATTGCCCATGTGTAACTGGGAGTTTGGTTTTTTATGTGGTTGATAACCCAGTATCTTTGGCCAAGTCAAGTAAGAGTTGCCCCCCTTCCCACAATAAATCCAATAATTCTTGCCTTAATATAAACAAACATGAATCTTGACGACAAATTAGGATTAATTAAAAAAAAAATATTGACATGGCCCATGAAGAGAGAAATTTTACAAAAAATTATTTTCACAAAATTTTGTTTAAAAATCAGGAATATTCACAGAAAATCTCCAGATTCCCTTAATTTCTATGTAGAAATTAATCATTTCATGACTACTCAAATGAGTCAAAACGTCTAAAAATGCCCTTATTTTCATTGCTAATATAACTTAGATTGGATCTATAAGTTTGCCAGGTTTAGAAAATGCTCCAGCTTTCCTACAGAAAATTGAAAATAGTAACACTGTGTTAATAATGTACAGTAGGTGGGTTTGTAAAAAATGCTCAATTTTGCCACTATTTTACCCAGGACAACCATTATTGTTTTTCATCTTTGAAACGTTAAATTCTTGCATTTCCTTCATGTAGAAAGCAATATTCAAGTCTTTCTAGACATTTTTCACTCTGCCATTCCATTAAGGGAGGCTAAATGTATAAACACCCCACCCCACCCTTTTTTAAAAATGTGTTTTGAGAGATTTAATTGCACCCGTATTGACATTTAAATGATAGTAATTGGAATTTGTGGTTGAATTGCAGCAAAGAATATTATTTTTCACCAATAAATAGTTATTTTGTACATTTAAAGGATTTCTAACCCTTTTTTGTTTTAGAGTCAAACATAGAACCCTGAGGCATTTCAGGCCAATGAGACCACACCCTGATATAAAACTGGTGTAGATGTGTAAATGTCAGCTTAATGTTCAATATTTTCTTATCAAAATCTAGGATTTGTGGTGTCTGTTGCATTTATGTTACTATAGAACAATAAAATGTTAATTTTGCTCATTTCCAGGTCTCCTTAATGTTGTCAACTCTGTCATAACTACTTTTTTGACTTCATTTTTTCAGGAAATAGATGAAGAGTTCCAGACATCTTGCTTCAGCACAAGGATTGCAATAAAAAATTGTATGGTGCCTCTGAGGTTTGAGATGTTGGAAACATTGAAATATCCCCAAATTTGTGAAAATTGTGTATTCTGTGACACTTTTGTAGAGGGGGGTAATCATAGACCAAATATGGCATTTTTTTCATTCATCAAGGCCTACTTTTAAAGATACATTATGGGAAATTCGATAACGAGTTGGCAGTTCTCACTATAATAGTTAAAAACTAGATAACGTAAAGGCAATTTGCTGAAAATTTCATTCAAATTGATCCACTATGAACCGAAAACTAAGCGAATGAAATTTCTGCCTAGCCTCGGTCATCATTACTAAAGTCAGTACGATAAACAGCATAGTCTCGATTATCCATTTAATCGTTTAATCGAGAAGGAAAGTTATGCAGTAAATCGGCTCACAATCCACTTAAGATCGTAGGCTAGCGATGCCATCTAGAGTTGATTATGATCTGAATAAGTTAATTAATGTCTAATTAATAATTTAGATACCATTTCAGGCCTAAAGAAAGACCTGCAATAGACAGATTTAGCTCTTGCATAATGTATGTTTAAGCATAATTCATATTTGTTGCACATATTAGAGTTTATTTGTATATATGTTATACAGGGATTTTAAAACATAGCTGTTAGACAGATTCCTTTGGTAATGTTAGTTCTGCAACTAAAGAATAGATTGATTCAGTCAGTGACATGTTTAGGGGGTGGGGATACATGTTTCAGTATAGATCTCTAATATTACAATCAATGCAACTGATTTGCATTTTTTCTGTTTGCATATTGTCCAAAGTTTTTAAAAATATATTTCTTGTCAGTCTAGATATTTAAAAAATGGAAAATTATTGGTATTTTGAAAAATGCTACATGTAAAATTTGTACATTTTTCATGACATGGCAGTAAAAAATTATACCCGGTATTTTTGAAAAAAATTCCAAGTTATGAGTGCTTTCTATGTAGTTTGTTTGTATCTTGTCTGATTTTTCACAGAACCCAAATACTGCATTTAATAAGAAAGATTTTTAAATTTTAGCACAAAAGGCCCATGGACCTGAGGTGTACTGCTGTGCATTAAGCAGCATGTATACTTAAAGGGCCATCATTTTTGCAGTTATTCTTAGATTTTGATTTTCTTTCACCGGCATATTGCCAGAACACACGGGAAGCAAATGTATACTTAAAGGGCCATCATTTTTGCAGTTATATTTTGATTTTCTTTCACCGGCATGTTGCCAGAACACATGGGAAGCAAATAAAAAAAGGCCTTTTGGTGATACCTCAAATTTTACCCCTATGTCAGTGTGTGACAAGGCTGTGACTGATATGCCTTAGTTTTGAAAATATGAAAAATAAATTCTCAGAAAATATGTATAAAATATAATTTGACTACAGAAAAACTAAAAAAATCAAAGTTTGGAAAAAAATTGTGATTTTAACTGCAAATTTCTCGATTTTCAGATTTTATTTAATTTCTAACAGTAAGAAAAATATTTTAATGCCCAATTTTGGCTTATTTAGCCTCAGAAAGCATGGTTAAAGTGAACAGTATTGTAATTTCACAAAATTTTGTCTAAAAATCAGGAATATGCACAGAAAATCTCCAGATTTCCCCCATTTCGATGTAGAAATTAATTCTTTTAGGACAACCCAAGTGAGCCAAAATGTCTAAAAATGCCAATATTTTCATTGCTAATAATATAACTTAGATTGGATCTATAAGTTTGCCAGGTTTAGAAAATGCTCCAGCTTTCCTACAGAAAATTGAAAATTAGTAACACTGTGTTAGTACAGCAGGTGGGTTTGTAAAAAATGTTCAAAACAGGGGTTGGCTCAATTTTGCCACTATTTTACCCAGGACAAGCATTTTTTTTTCATCTTTGAAACATTAAATTCTTGCATTTCCTTCATGTAGAAAGCAATATTTAAGTCTTTCTAGACATTTTTCACTCCACCATTCCATTTAGAGAGGCTATAAACGCCCCACCCCACCCTTTTTTTAAAATTATATTCCAAATGAAATAGTAGATATTTCTGATTGCTTTAAAACTGAAACAATCATTCCTTGATATTTTACTTTTGTCTTTATATAGGGATCAGCTGACTTTTTGTTGGATAATCTCTTTTCAAAAAGTTACATGAGTAAGATGTCGACAGAGGAGAAACTGAAGGCACGAGAAAAGTTGTTGAAAGTGGTACAGAAACACCATGGAAACAATTCCAGTATCGATGTTCCAAGTTATACAATAATACATTTATATAAGAAAATAAACTAAATTTTATGTTTCCATTTTAATCTGATAAAACAATGCATCTACATATAAACAATATATATCTCTATGTTATACATAAACACTAAATAGCTCTCCATATAAACAATAAATAGCTCTCTGTATAAACAATAAATATCTTTACATATAAACAGTACATATTTCCATATTTAAACAAAATATCTTCATATTGAATTTAAACACTACTTTAAAATGTTCTCAACTATCCCGAGAACCTATTCTTCGTCCTTTAATAGATGGTAAGACTGCTGTTTTATTCCAGTTTATTGATGGTGGTTGTGTTGATGGAGATGGGGTGCGACGTGGTCCAAGGTTGGGGTTGATATCCGGTAAAGTATAAGCAACCCCCAGCTTATGAATCTTAAAATTGTCTAAAATTTTAAAAATAGAAAAACGTATTTTACTCATCCGTCCAAAACAATCGCGGTTGGGTACTTTTAGCGGGTCGTCTAGTAATTTTCGTAGCATTAAAATACGTATTTTAGAACAAGACTTAATTCACTTCATCGTTCCATTCCCAAATCCCCTTAGACAGATCATCCATTGTACTTGCCCAGAAACAAATACTTACCAGATTATAGATTGGTAAAACAATTCTATTGCAAAAAATGTTATCATCTGAACAGACTTAAATAAAATTTAATAGGGTTTAACGTCCTACTTTTGCACTGACTAAGGTAATGAAGACGCACATGCACACAAAATACAATGAGATATATTCCCCCCACTCCCTTTAGCGTGACAATGTCGACAGAACTTCGACAGCACATTTTGAAAAATTTTACCCCTTCCCGCCCTAGAATATTATTATCCATATCGGGCATATATTATAATGTTTACTTGTCCACTGACAGGGGCGGATTGGGACATCGGACAAAAAATGAAAAAAAAATAATTTTGTCCAATTCGTCTAAAAAAAACTTTTTTCTGCTGAACATTATATGAGGGGGGGGGGGGTATTGGACCGGCCATGGAGCGATGATGATCATGTTGTATGTGGCCGGTGGCTTTAACAGGCCGCCACGCCATCACTGGTGTCTGGAATGGGCTGGTATAATAGACTTTCTGGCCCGGTGTGCTGGGTGTGGGCCGGCATTCGGAATCCTGCAATGGGGGTTCCGAATTTCATCCGAAAATTTCATCGGATTCAAACGACACAGACGCCCGCAAATTTACTAATTATAAAGTCACCTGCACCCTGTTTGTGGGGATACGCCAGAAACGTCTGCCGATGGTTCGTAATCAACTAGTTCCATTTTTTAACCAGTTAAATTCTCTTGACTCTTGACGATACAATGATAATACGTTAATTAATAATATGACGATATGATAATTTCACAGGTTGATGGTTGTACATTACTTGCAGGTCGGGGTTTTGGCCTAAATTAATCGATTTATGAGATATATTATTTGACAGAGATTATAATCAGATATGCCACCAAATCGTATATTTGGGGTTCATTTTTTCAAAATTTTCCAGGCGGAGACCCACCGGATCCCCCGTCCGGGCTCCGCGGTCAGTAAAAGGGGCCGCTCCGACACGGGAGCCCGGGCCTGTTCCCGGTCCCAATCCGTCCCTGTCGACTGGCCAATTGTTGCATCAGCAATCGTCAACATTCGATAAATGAATGAGCAACCAAATTCTTTTATTTTATTGGTCGAATACACTCATGACACACAAACTTAATTTATGGGGGTGCCCCCCCCCCCCCAGTTGAAGGGTGACCCTCCCACACTCTCCCTATCGCGCTACATCGGCTGCTGTGCGGCCTCGTGCCTCCGGCGTCACAGATTGTCAACATTTTATATAATTTCATTTGCCCCCCCCCCCCCCCCAAATATATATTTCACGGCTACGCCTGCGGTATATTGTAGTATACAAGGTATTCCTCAAATGACATTCAGAGACTCGGCACTCTAAGTGTAAAATTTAAACTTACATTTTTGTATAAAGTCCCTTTTCTTTTTGACAGGATCTATAATGCACTTTTTACCACGATACACGGCATAGGGGTGATGTACCACATTATATGATTTAGCCTTATCGGTATATAAAAACATCCTGGTACGTGGTCGGCATTGATAATGAACCACCTTTGGTTTAGGGATATATCTGTTTATAAGTTCGTTACGTTGACAATTATCGTATTCTGAGTCTGGGGTAAACCCGAATCCTGTTGGTATGCCTGGTTCGGGAGAAATGGCATAGGGTGTAGAAATTGGTACCGGGGGTGGCGTCTGTCCTGAAGATGCTCTACTCATAAGTTCTATTCTTCTACATATAGACACAGGGGTAGGATTCCGGCTTTGTCTTTCACCAGCCCCATCCATGTTTGGTGAGTAACGATGAAGCTCGCATAGGTATCTATTTGACGGGTAAATTTGATTTAAACCTTCTCTTAGTTGATTGACTTGACACTGAATACAACCGTCTTCTGTTTGACAGTATTCGGGCGATTGACTGAAATAAGATCTACGTTGACAGTTCTTTTTCCTTCTTTGGTTGGCTTCGTTTTCACAGCCGCGTAGAAAATCTTTAACACTAACTTCTGGGACGGTCAGGGGTCCTTTTATATATTTTATTGCTAAGGCTATAGCATCAGCAACTCTTCTTCTGTTTTTCGTTGCCAACTCTTGTTGTCTTTTTTCGTATTCCTTTAATCGTTCCTGAGTTAATCTGTATTCTGTGTTTGGTGAAACGCTTCCGGATTCAGGACTAGTAGAAGTAGTAGTAGTACTATAAGCAAAAGCACGGCGACCTGGTGATTTTTTTGTCGGAGAGCTCGAACTAGATGTACATCTGTCCGAATTCTCCTTTTTGTTTTTTTCTTTGGATGATGTTAATCCAGAATTCATCAATACTTGGCCGAATTCATTATTCTAGCTCGGTTACACGTAAAATAAATAATTTACCCAAGAATGACCATAGCATAGTTCTAACAGCAAGCTGGGCTTTAATTAAAACAGGAAATACCACGACGTCAATATACTATGACATCATAGTCATCTTAACGTTACGTCTACTCAAAACAAAGTAGGCCATTTCGGGACTAGCGCTATACACGAATGTCTACGGGACATGTTGTAGAGGCTAAGTGAGAGGGACTTAATGGCGAGCTTTGGATCATGGGTTTGAGTTTTTGCGCCCCCTCGCAAATGGCAAAAAATAACACGGTTTCAATGCGGTTTTCAAGAATCAAGATTATAATTATAATCATAATGCTTAACCAGTGTCAAACATATACAGTGGGTCAGATCTGCTACAAATTGACTCTAGCATGTTACAATATTACCCGGTGGCACTGGGAGGGACTGCCACCCCACCACCTCACACACGTATATAAATATTATTTTTGGGGGGCCCGGACGGGATCTTGTTCCTCGTGCAAAGTCATGGGTCACCACGCCCCTGGCTTGTTGACCCCCCCCCCCCCCAACATTTACATTACCTAACATGTAAAAACCTCAAATTAACACATTTTTGTATGTTAACATTCATCCTAAAATGGCGTGATCTGTGTTAAGAGGACGTTAAACCAAACCTCCCCTCTCACACATCATTGTAGCCTATTAAAATATACCACCAAAATATCTAGCATAGTTTGTATTAAATGTACGCTAAAGCTACAATTTCATATTTTTAAGTTATATTTTTGAAATTTATTAAAATAAAGCCTTAAAATAGATGGTATCCAAAAACAGTCCTACCTTGTTAAAGAATAATCCTATTAATCCTATAATTCGCTATTGCCAGCTGAGAAATTGGCAAAAATATCATTTTCAGCTTCAAATTCAAACGTTTGAACATAGCTATTCCATGGAGGTAATAGGAAAACAAGGGAGGTAATTGTGTTATTATTTCCCGTGTCAGTGATTTTTAAGGGTGGGAAATGATGCCCATGATCGTATAATAGTGAGTTGATAACCTATTGAGCAAAAGACATAGAAATAATTATGTTTTGACTTTCTTAGAAAATATGAAATTCTCGGTTTAACCTCACTCTCTCTTAAAACTGAGAGATAACCGATTTTATGTTCAAATTTGGTGTGAAATGGGGTTTAACGTCTAATCGACACAAACTAGGTCATTCGGCACTATCATATCGTTCAATTTCATTTTAATAACTCGTTTGCGCTTACGGGTTTTTAGTCGCGGAGGGAAACCAAAGGACTCGGTGAAAACCAACGAGGTTGGTCAGGTGACTCTAATCCTGTTCACGTATTCGAAACCACGCCACTTGACACAATGACAGACCCCACTGGGCCACCCAACCCACTTTGTGTTACGCATTGAGGTAACAAGAGGGTGAACCCTGTGGATATCCAGTGTTCCAGGATTTCCTGCTCCGGAACTACCCCCTCTTCCGAAAGCCCTGATAACGCGATAGTGTCCAGAGTTTTTAACGGATGCTTTTCTGATTTGTTGAAAAGCATCAGGGTCATAAGAGTCAGTTTATGGGAACAGGTCACGGGCGGGGTGGGGAATGTGTTCAACCTCAAAACAACTGCAAGAAAGGTATTTTTGTGGTTTCTGATAGAGTTGGTTGTACAGAATGACATCTTAAGAGCGACCTAACTCCTTTTCACGTACGAGCGGGGATTCGAAACCACGCCACTTGACTCAATGACAGACCCCATTATCTTACGCTCACGCGTTAAACCATTCGCCCCCCCCCCATCTTTGGTGTGAAGCATTGATGTCACAAGAAAGAGGGCGAAGTCTATGGATTGCTCCGGAACTATCCCCTCTTTTCCGACGAAAAAGTCCGGCAGCAGGTCGTCAAGCCTGGGTATATAATCCACCTAATGTTTTTTGATGGATTATATATCTTCAGTATGTGTAGATTCAGAATCCGGATGATGCCACCCTTGCACCCTTTGGGAAATTTAAATATTCAAGATGGCCGTCATGAGTCATTTTCTGGTTATTTAGTGTGGTAAAATATGTGACAGATTCTCTCGGACCTCGGTTTCTAAAATATGACAGCTAATTCCGCTAGGGGCCAAATTCAAAATGGTGGCTTATTTTTGGCAGGAAACTTATAAAGTTCCCTAAAAAGGTATGTAATATATTGAAATATAGGTTTTCGGTGTATTATATATCTTCAATATGTGTAGTTTCAGAATCCGGATGATGCCACCCTGACATCCTTGAGGAAATTTTAAAAATCAAGATGGCCGTCATGCGGCATTTTCTTGTTATTTACTTTAATTTAGTGGGGTACAATTCGGGAAAAATTCTCTCGGACCTCGGTATGAAGGTGGTTTCTGTAAGAATTTGACCCGCTGGATCTAATGAGCTTGGATATACCCCCTAAAAGTGACGACTAATTCCGCTAGGGGGCCAAATCCACAATGATGGCTCGTTTTTTGAGGTAAACTCATAATGATCCCTAATTAATACGGTGTACAATACATTGAAATATAGGTTCCCGTTGTCAACTTCTTCAGATTGTTCCAACCCGATGATATTCTCCCCCTTATATTCTTATAAGGACACAAAGTAGACACGGTCAAACACAACCAACTATTGGACCATCGTGCGTTGAAAGTAAATATTTCTAATAGCTAACTGGGGCTCACATATTTGTCTTGTGCAACCTCGGGTATTTGTCGAACTCACCCTCTTGAATCACTGGAATACTCGCAATCGGTAGAACAGTCTGATTCTTCCCATATTCCATCCGTGGCAGGCAACGGGGGTGACATTTGTCTAGCAAGTTATTTGGTCATTCATACGGGCCGGTAAAGCTGGGGTTTGTATTACGCCGACAAAAAATTTTCATCCCTTATTCCACTCTGTTTTCTAGTAGAGAAGGTGACACGGGCGGGTGCCATAGTGGATCATGATTTATGCTTGACAATGTGCTCTCTGTAGCTTCTGTTCGTATGACCCTGTAATTTGTGCTCTTAGTCCTGTGATACATAAGTTTTTACATTAACGGTTCTATTATCTTCCATGGTCTACTAAATTTAGTTATTTTGTTGGATTTGGGAACCATATTGGCGTTTCGTTCGGTCTTGGCACATTTCACCATTCAGACATGTTTTTATGTTTATATCTAAAGGAAATGACACCGAAAACCTATAGTTTAATATATTGCACAGCTTTTTGGGGGGACTTTATGAGTTTCCCCTAATAATGAGCCTCCATTTTGAATATGGGCCCCTAGTGGAATTAGACAGCTTTTATTAGAAAGAATACCAAAGTTCATTGGATTCAGCGGGTCAAATTCTGATAGAAATCACCTTCATACTGAGGTCCGATTTAGAATCTGTCCCGAATTTTACCCCACTAAATTAAAGATACATTATGGGAGATTATAATAGAGTGTTGGTCATTCTTGCTATAACAGTTCAAAAATAGATGATGAAAGAAGAATATATTGACAAATTTCAGTCAAATTATTTTATTCTGAACAAAGTTATCACCACTGTAATTTTTGACTAGAAATAGGAGTCAACTGTCTCTACACCGTTTGCCTATTCTCACAGAGTAATATTTTTACTCTGTGCTATTCTTTTTGAGACGGGGTTGCAATTCAATTCGTATAACATTTATTTTTACTACAAATTAAAATAAGACTTTTAATATATAGATAAGAAGCGAAAGTTTGAAAGGAATGGACCAAATCAATGAGGCATAATTATAGCCGACTTCTTGTTAGCCTGCGTGTACTCTGGTACTGTAACTGGTAGGCCTACGTAACTACCGAAGCAGACAAATAGGAAACAGTGATCCAATGGGGCTGCAATTCAACTGGGGTGATTTTATTGTTAGCTGCGATGTTTATCAATTTCCATAATTTTTCTGTAAACGCAAGTGACAAAATAGCGTATAATACCGACATCCAAACTCTCATTTTTACCACTTTCCATCAAATTGACTGACACGCGGCCTCGCTCAACTGCGGCCTCGCTTCGTACTCAATCATTTAGCCTCGATCTAAAATTTCCGGGAGTATGACGTCAACGTAACGGTTAATCTCCGCTTACGACGCCATTTAAAAAGTTAATTAATCCATGAAATCCTGTTTAAATCCATGCCGAATCCAAGCCACCCGTGGGTCTACAGAGTTATTTTGGGCTTGGTGTGTAAATAAAGATCTAATTTATAATTTCTATGACATCTGAAGCCTAAATAAAGACTTGCAATAATCAGATTTAGCTCTTGCATAATGTATGTTTAAAGTAAATAACCAGAAAATGCCTCATGACGGCCATCTTGAATTTTTTAATTTCCTCAAGGAAGCCAGGCTGGCATCATCCGGATTCTGGAACTACACATATTGAAGATATATAATACACCAAAAACCTATATTTCAATGTATTACACACCTTTTTTGAGAACTTTATAAGTTTCCTGCCAAAATAAGCCACCATTTTGAATTTGGCCCCCCTAGCGGAATTAGCCGTCATTTTTTAGGAGAAATACCCGTGCTCATTGGATTCAGAGGGTCGAATTCTTATAAAACCCATCTTCAAACCGAGGTCCGAGAGAATCTGTCACATATTTTACCCCACTAAATAACCACAAAATGCCTCATGGCGGCCATATTGAATATTTAAATTTCCCCAAGGGTGCCAGGGTGACATCATCAGGATTCTTAATGTGCACCTACTGAAGATATATAATCCACCAAAAAACATTAAGTGGACTATATTTCCACGTTAAGGCTTAAAATGGGGTTTGGCAACTGGACTAAAAGCACTGTTAACCCGATAGCAGTGTCCGCAGATTTTAAAGTATACTTTTACGATTTGTTCGAAAACATACTAGAGAACTGCTATTTTTTTTTAAATTGGTTGGTTGTTTTTGGGGTTTTTTTTTTTTTGTTTTTTGGGTTTTTTAAGGGGGGGGGGGGGTAATTAAATGTTTATTTCTTTACTTTATGTAGTTGATTATATTTACGCACACATATACACAGAAATGTCAACATGTTAAACTTCAGAGAAAAGACACTAAATGTCTTGTCTTCAAATAAATTACAACTGGATAATCATGACTGAATGTAAAAAGTTACTTCCCCTTGGTGTTGTCTTCTCTACAGAGATGCAAAGAGTGTTGTGATGTAAACAAAAAGTGGTCTTGCACCATTGATAATTATAATCTTGACCAATTTGCTGAATGTAACCTTCTACTTCTAGTCGAATGTTGAAAGTACAGTTTAAGAAAAACAGTGATGTAGCTAATCCCCGAAAATTGAATTATTAAATGCCCATTAAGAGCTACACGCGATATTAATTTTATTTAATACTAATACTAATACTGGTTTTAGTATTACGACAGCAGCGCCTTTATAATAATATATAATATTAATAAATATATTGTTTTTGCAAACCGTGTGTAAGCCTAAAGATCTCTGTTATAGTCAGTCTTAAATAATAATAACAGTTTCCAATAACGATTTCATATTCAGTCAGGTACTGACACTGATTATATAATGTCAGTAAAATATTCAAGAATACCCACAGATGACTGTGAATCAGGTTTGACATTTGACTACAGTTCTCCATTTTCCTATGACACGGATTACAGCTATAAGTACCGTTCAGCATTTAAATACAGCACCAACAAAGATAGACAGATATATTCAAACCTTGATACTGAATCTTGTGAGTAGTTAAGAATTTTTTTCTACATCTGCTGTATTCAACTCAATTAGTCCTAGCCCCTTTCAAATAACAAATCTAAGGTGTTTAAATTAATTATCTGAGATGCAATATGGAAATAACGAGGGTCATGTGAAAGCTTAGACTGAATAATCCAGCCTCTGAAAGCCCTCCGTACCAGAGGGCCGATCAGAGGCTTGATTATGCAATCTAGTTTAAGGGACCACATCATATGACCATAATTCCTTTTTCAGAAGCACTTGCCAATAATTTTAAAGTACTAGGGAGGTAAACGACACAATGGTTCGCAAACTAGATCTGTAGTGCATGGTTGCATTATTTTGTTCCTCTCTGTCCCTGAATAAGACACTCTAGCTGTCTCTTTATTCCAGTTGTAACTGGGTACCAGTAGAACAGAGCACGGTAAATTCTGTATGATGCAGAGAAATGACCTCAAAAAGGAAGGTAAAAATACCCAACATGTCCTGTTAGCCTGTGTCTGCAGACTGAAATAATAAAAGCTAGATGAAAGTGTTAATATTGCATTTTCAAAAAAATTACTCCAAAGGAAATTAAGGTCTCATTTCTTTGTCAATATCCAATCAAGCCTTTTGGGGAATGAAAAAAATTATTCTTATCTTTTCAGTACACTCAACAAGAAGTGGGTTGATATGTCATATATTTTTATCTGGTGTATTTATTCTGCTATTAATTTTAACATTTCCAATATCAATATGGTTTAGTTTTAAGGTGAGTTTCAATTTGATTTTTTTTATCTTTAATCAACAAGAAGTGGGTTGATATATCATTGTTTTATCTGTTGTTTATTCTGCTATTAATTTTAACATTTCCAATATCAATATGGTTTAGTTTTAAGGTGAGTTTCATTGCGTGTTGAAATTTCATCAATTTATTAACTAAAGTTTTCTTTATGAAGACAATATATTTTACACTTTTTATTTACTGTTACTGTTTCATGAAAGCTTTATGACATTACTATATATTTTTGCAGATGGTGCCAAACTTTCAAAAAGTTGTTGTCTTCAGACTGGGGAAGTTAATTGGGGCAAAAGGGCCTGGTAAGCTAATTTGATTCATTTTGTGAGTGTATTAAAAGAATCAGTTATCTCATTGCCCATAATGATATTGAGTTGTGACAGATATTTTGAGTGAAAGAGCCATTGTATGGCAATAAAAGTACTAGTCTAGTATGCCCACTACCAGTTTTATGAATATGATATTAAGCCAATTGTGATGCAAACCAAAGAAGCAATAATTGTCTCAAATATTCTGGTCTTTATATATAAATCTTTAATTCAATATCATCCACAGTCTTCGACATTGCAAACAAGACTTATTGGTCAGTTTAAATCGACCTTGATGTTGTTATTTTACCCTGAAAAGATGGGCTTCTGATATCCAATATTTAAGACAAAATGAAAATTTATGAAAATTTTAAAATTGGCACACGAATCGTGTGCCAGAATGCTTTAGAGCACCATTTGTAATGAAGCAACTCGATGAACGGGGCTAAACATACAAAAAAGTCAGGGGAGAATACTAACACAGTAGACTGGAATAACCAGATGCCAAAGACTGCCATTCAATTTGGATTTTTCGTGTATTTTGCCAAACATAACTGATTAGAAATTACAGTAAAAACAGAAACAATTGATTGTCAATCTGTTTATATACATTCATATTATATTATTATACGTGTTGAGATCCATTTGTGTCCATTTCTAGGTGCCAAAGAATATGGATTTAGTTCCTTTGAAAGGTTAAAAGTTATTGATTTATGAAAAGATCAGTAAGTTCCTAGAAATCTTGCTTACATGTATATTTATAGCAGCATTTCACTAACAAGTGCTGACTATTATGATTTTGGAACCAGCTGTTCAATTATCTTTTAGGAATGGTTTTTGTGATACCCTGTATAGACAGGTTTCATAAAGTTGATGTTAGAATCAAGGCTTTTAATGTTCCACCAAAACAGGTAGACACAAACAATTTTAAAATATTTTATATGTTTTCTTTTTTATAAACCATTACCTACTTTAAGGAGGTTCTAGTATTTTTACAATAGATTGATACTGTTGAACAAGGCTGATAGTTTATCAGTGATGTCCACAACATCACTGCAGTTAAAATTTGATTGTTTGATTTTCAATTTAATGAAATTAAAAGGAGGAAAGAAAGACAATGACTAATGCAAAGCTGCGAAACTTTGAATGAGCAATCAGCAAACATTCAGGATACAGGATAATTATCACTAGCTAAACAGTGCAATAGTTTGGACGGGAATGTCAGTAGCCAAATGTACTGGCTAGACGATATCCACTGAACCAAGGGTCACCTACCAACTCAGTGGTTTAAATAAAAGAATATAACTAAATTTATGTTTAACGATGTAAACCAAATGCCATCCTTGTCTGATCAAATCAAAATATTGAACTGTTCAGAAATGATCAGAAATTTCTCATTTAAGAAATTGTATGAATGACTTAATAATTATGACAATCACTAACCATTAGGTATATTTTTAGACATGGTTATTCAGGACACTTACATAGGCTTTCACCCCAAATAACCTGTTTTATACACTATGACTAAAGAATATCTGAATTTATTTCTTTGTGTGTACAGATTATTATAGGAGATGGTGCAGTGATTGAAGTTGGTGCAGATGTACATTATAGAATAACAGACGTTGAGAAATCTATTACTTGTGTTCAGAATTTGGACCAGTCGACGCGCATCTTAGTTCAGACAGCTCTACTTAAATCATTAGTTCGTAGGAATTTAGCAGAAATAGAGACACAGAGAAATGCTTTGGGAAAAAGTGTTCAGGTTAGGAAAAGGCAATATAAAAGCCCAAACTGGTTTACTAAACCAACTGACAAACTTAACTGCCACTCAAGAATTATGCTCCATCAATATGGATATGATGGAGTTAAGTGTGTCAGTCAGCTTAGTAACCTAGAAGGTAAATATGTTCAGGCATGAAATAACTTAACTTTTTTTTCATGCAGTGTAGATAGTAGATACTGTGATGGCTTCCCAATTATATCACTATAGTTTACTATCATTTGTGGTTGAAAACATTTGTCGAAACATCATGCTATATGTGTACAAACCAGGGATTGTTTTCCATATAAATTGTGTTGTGTTTTTTTATTGTGCTAGCTCAACCTGTAATTGCAAATTGAATCTCAAGTTACAAGTCTTTTACGTTACGAACTAAAATGTTAAAGATACATTATGTAAGAGCTAAATCTACCTTTATTATGGTTTCAAATGTTATATAAACTATTATTTAAACATTTATTCACATGACAAGCCTATAATCAACCCTCTAGACATCAGATGGCCGTGAATTAAATGGATTAGAACTCAAGCGAGATATAAAAATTAACTAATAATATGGATAACAAAGACTTAGTTTCAATTGTCAAATACCATTGCTAAGATAATAAACAATCATGTCAAAATTCAAACACTGATAACTTGACCCAGAATAAAGTAATTTGAATGAAATTTTCAATATATCCATTTTCATTATCTATTTTTGAACAGTCACGTCTTTATCTAAATATTCCGTAATGCATCTTTAAAATGGACTAAAAATATACTTTTAATGATATAACATAAAAGGTAAAAGTTAAGATTGACATATAAAGCAAACTAATTTGTTTTATATCTTAGTATTTGAGCATTTTTGTTCACATATTATAAAGAATGACTTGCGACTTCTGGTTCATTTTTCTATCAGGGGTCACATTATTTAATGAATCATGTGTTATTAAAGCTATAATAGCTAAAAAAATAGATAACGTAAAGAGGATATGCTGAAAATTTCAGTCAAATTGTTCCACTCTGAGTCAAGATATTAGCGATTGAACTTTCGGCCTAGCCTTGATCATCATTACTAAAGTCGGTACGATAAAAAACAAAGTATCGATTATCCATTTTGACGTTAAATCATCCGTCATAAAATGTATTCAAATCCATTTAATATCGCAGGCTAACGATGGCATGGAGAGTTGATTATGGTCTGGCTAATTTAATTTATGTCTAATTAATCATTTAGATAACAATTCAGGCCTAAAGAAAGACCTGCTATAGGCAGATTTAGCTCTTGCATAATGTCTGTTTAATGTATAATAGGTAGCTTTCAGACTTACCTGATACATGTACATATGTAGACTATTTATTTCACTAATACGCTTGTATAAAGTGCTCTTTATTATTAATGGTTAACAAAAAATAGCAACACGGTTGAGCAAGCAGTTCTATTTACATTCAGATTTGGATCTATCACACATTTATCCACATTTCTGCTAATAATAGTATCACGAAATGCTGATGTAGTGGTCAGAATATTCCTGTTGTTATTTTGTTAGATTATTAAACATACATTATGCAAGAGCTAAATCTGCCTATTTCAGGTCTTTCTTTATGCCTGAAATGTTATCTAAATTATTAATTAGACATATTAATTAACCTATCCAGGCCATAATCAACTCTAGATGGCAGCGCTAGCCTGCGATCTTTAGTGGATTGTAAGCCGATTTACTGCATAACTTTCCTTCTCGATTAAATGGATAATCGAGACTATGCTGTTTATCGTACTGACTTTAGTAATGATGACCGAGGCTTATGGGAATTTCAGTCGCTTAGTTCTCGGTTCATAGTGGATCAATTTGAATGAAATTTTCACCAAATTGCCTTTACATTATCTAGTTTTTAACTATTATAGTGAGAACTGCCAACTCGTTACCGAATCTCCCATAATGTATCTTTAAGCTACATGTTTATTTTATAGGAGACATCTAATGAGACTTGTATAACATGGGGTGTAGAAATATGTAGAATAGAATTGTAAGTAACACTGTGACATATTAGAAGTATGTTAAATTCAGTCAAATCATTATAAAGTTGAAAGTTGTTTGTTTACCAGTTCACAGATGAACCCAATAATATAATCGTTTTAATATTCTATATGTCATAAATAATATGTATTACTGTATTTGAATTCCTGTTATGGTATATTTATAGATCACAAGTAAAGGTATTAAGAGGACCACCAGCTAAATCGACTCCTACAATGATGTTCCCTCCTGGAATGATGCCACCTGGTGCCTCCTCATCTAATCTACCTCCAGCTATTCAACAATTAGCATCTGCTCTACTAACAGCACAGGGTAAATAACTCCAACAAATCAATTTTGAAATGTGGTTATATATTGTCTTCATCTCTGTCGGTCTATTTGTAGTTTTCCACAATTGTTTGTGTGTGATCAACGAGTTGTGGTCTTTGATCACTTAGAAAAATGTTGAAGCTGATAAATAATTCTGTCCACATTGACTTTAATCCATGACATTTCATGGAATATAACAATATTTTGAACATTCTGATTGTCTTAATCTTTATAAAGACAAAAACAGCCCAACAAGCATCTGATGAAAATACTGTAGGGTGTTGACCATCTCAACTTTTTTCTACACCAGCTTAAAGGTATCTTAGGTTATGACGTCATTTTCGTAGGAGACATCCCCAATTTTTGTCTGTTTATCTACTGATCCTCTTGTCTCAAATTCATGAATATTCACCAAAACCTGGCAAGCACTCTTTAATTCTGGACCAAATGTCACCACAAATTGACACGTGACAGGGAAAAGAACAAATCGTATTTGACTGTCATGAAATCGGGGGGAAACAATTACTAGTCTTAGTCCTTGATCATTATGGTCCTTGATCGGTTAGAAATATTTTGAGGCTTAAGTGAACTTCAAGATTGACTTGAAATGTTCTTGTTCATGATAAGAAGAAGCATATTGGTTTTCAACGATTTTCAATAATTCATTTTGAAGTTACAACAGCCCATTGATCACATTGACAAATCTTTATCAACATATCTTTATTTTATCTTTTGGACCAGAAAGTGTTTAGATTTAGGAGAATTAGGGATGACTCATAAATTACACAAATGAATTCAGGTTCTACTAAGAAATAACAATGATGTACGAAGGCTGGCTGAAAAGTTCTAAGCCTATCTGTGAAAGACCTGTACGAAGTCGATAGTTTCCATTTATTTTTCTACTTACTGGTAGTCCCCTTCGAGGTGTACACACTTTTGCCAACGATGTTGCAAAGCCAGGATGCTGGCCAGAAAGACATTTTCTTCAGCCACCCTAAAAAAAGTTGTTCACAGCTGACATGATGTCATCATTACTAGAAAAATGACGACCGGCCAGTTCCTTTTTCATTTTTGGAAACAGGTGCAAGTATGACGGGCCAAATCGGGCCAAAAAATTATCAGGATCGGCTTCAAAATGGCACAGATTGTCACAGGACGTCAGGAATCTGACACATTTCTGATCCAACAGTCAAGAGCTTTTGTCATTCCTAACTCGTTGGCACTAATATGCTCAACCCTCCCATGAGAGATGCCCACAGCAATATGTTGTCAAGGCTCTCTCTGCCACACTTAAATTCCGCAGCCCACTTCTTTACTGTGGAAGGGGCACCATCCCCTAAAGTGGAGACCACGTCTCCATGTATCTGTGTTGGGGTCAGTCCTTTCAGTTGCAGGTACTTGATGACTGCCTTATAGCTAATTCTATCCATCTCATGGTGATTTAAATAGGTAGGTTCACAAGATGATCTGGTATGAAGACAATAATAACACTAAAGTTGCAGTTCTTATGTCTATGATTCATTCAATAATTGATGGCAAAAGTGTGGTCCAACCCAATTGATCTATCCTTTTCAGGTTTAGAACTTTTCAGCCAGCCCTCATATATACATTGTAGGTCTTTGCTCTGTATGATTTATTTTAATATAAATTTAAAGACATAAACATTTGATTACTAGTAAGAGTATCCTTGGCCAGTAATAATTATAAAAATGCAAATCCTATGTTTTGATGAACTATTGTTGTGTTAAACAATCATGAAATAAGACATTTTATAACAATCTAGTAACTACTATTTGCATTCAGTAGATTTTAATTATGATAACTATGATGATGTCTGTTCTAGGTAATGGAGCTGTTCCTGCCCAACAACAAGCTGCACCTCAAAGTGCCACAAGTCTTGGTAGTTCAGAAACTATGACAGCGGCAGACATTTTACAAGCTGTTCAAGCCGTCTTAACAGAGAGTTTAGTTCAAAAAGTTGATGCCATTATTCAATTTCAAATAACTGGAGATACAGGAGGTTTATATTACCTGGATTTGAAACATGGAAAAGGTACTGCTGGAGAGGGAATGGCACCTAACGGAGAATCAGATGCAACACTAATGATGTCTGTGGATGATCTCCAGGCAATGTTTACAGGTCAAATTAAACCATTCCAGGCGTATATGTCTGGAAGACTTGAGGCAGCCGGTGATTTAGATGCAGCTATGAGATTAGAAGAGGTTATTAAAAAAATAACAGGGAAGTCCTGAGGTGAAGACATGATGTTTGAAAAAATCTAGACATCATTTCATGTTAATAGATCAAAATATATTAGAAGCATGACAAGCCACATCATTCATATTATATTTCAAAAGTTAAAATATTTTAATTAAGAGACTGTTATTATTATGTTGTTTTTATGTTATAAAGTGGATCTGAGTATAAAAGACAATCATGAAAATGATAGGCCAATTCTAATTACTATATTTTTCTAAGAGAGATAAAGATGGTAGTTGGTTTAGAGTTGCATATTTTATCGCAAAAGGAAAAGCCAGAGAATGTCTGAGGTTCTTTCTTGGACACCTGATACCACTTCTCATGGTAGTCCACATTACTAAGTAGGTGTTGCATTGTGTCGGAGCTAAATCTGCCTATTCCATGTCTTTAGTGATTCATGTCATACATGAGGTAGGGTATGCTTACTATTTCTAGAACACCTGATACCACTAAGCATAGCTACTTAACTTGTTCTACAGTTGTATATTTCAAGATTTCTTGAATAATTTCAAAATAATTTAATTTGGTACATAAAATACTTCATGGTTTTTAGAAAATAAAAATCATAAATCTGTCAATATTGTTCCTATAAAAAAAATCTCTATTCAGATTCTTGTCTGATTTAATGAGTTCCTACAATATGTATTTTTGTGTCTTGTAGGGATAAGTGGATAACACTAGTTCAATATGACAACAAGGGTTCAATATTAATTTGTGGCTTAAGTGAATTTAACAAGATTATACAAGAGTTATTGACCTAGACTTTGATTTTTTGAGATTTGCCATTTTCTAAAACCTCCAAGTTAGCTTATTTATAATAGGCTGGTAGGAGAACTTCAGATTAACAGCAGCTGTAAAAAATAAAATCCGAAACAAATGATCCTTGCTCTTTATGAAAGGTCTATTTGGATGGCCGAATGGTCAGCAGGTGCACGCTATATCATAAGGTCTGTCATTGAATCAACTGGCATGGTTTCGATTCCCCAGCTTTACGTGGCAAGGAGGGTTGCCTGTCCAACCTCGTGGGTTTTCTCCGGGTCCCCTGTTTTTTTCTCACTGCTAAAGACCCCTACGCACAAGTGAATTGTTGAAATAAAATTGAACCATATGTTAGTCCCGAAATGACCAAGTTTGTGTCGAGTGGACATTAAACCCATCTCTGTCTCTCTCACTCACCTACTCGAAACTTTGTGCAAAATGTATAGGATATTCAAATGTATCAAGAATGATTACCCCTAGACACGGGCCATAGCCAGCTGGTAAAATTTGGTGGCAGTGTCTGCCAGAGCGGGGGGTCTACGGGTCCTCCCCCAGAAAATTTTGAAAATCTGGTGCTCTCTCCTCGCATCTGAGTGCATTCCTGGGCCTCAAATTGAAGTGCCTCAGGCAGGGTTTTATGGCTGAAATTTCCTTCTTCGACTCCTCCCGCTGATATCATCTTGAGGGTAGTAGAGAGTGTCTTTTGATTTACACGGAGAACTCTATACAGCTGTAGTATCAAATTTAAAGTGAACTATAGGTATTCTATTATTCTATTCATAGAATTACAGTATAGGCGTAAAAACATGATCTCTTTCATTACTAGAAAGATATTTCCGGCACGGAAAACAGAAATACGCGTCTTTTTGGACCGAGTACTCAAGCCAAGAACGATGGGTGTACCCACTTACTTTGAAATAAACAAGTCTGTTTCCCAAATTTAGTTTTCGGTGGGTTCACTACACGGGGCTGGGCTGACACATCATTGTCAAGATCAGATGGATAAGCCGCTTTCGTCTTGGACTGGACATCAGGCAGTGAATCGTTGGAATTAGGTGCTGCTGATCCTGGTGCTGGTGTGGTAGATGTCAAAAATGTTCTGCCAGTTCTACCAGTGCAAATGGCAACACTGGACGCAAGTCGGATGCTCAACCCCAAAAGCTAATATACATTAACACATGACTAACGTATAAAATGCAGGGCCGTAACTAGCTCAGAGCAACGAGGGGGAGGGCGGGAAGTGTACTCGGGGGTGCTGTAAAATTGACGGACAATGTATATCTATTCTTTTTATGGTCGACAATTTTTTCACGGGGGCGGGGGGGGGTTAACTTTTTGCAGGGGATCTCCCCCCCCCCCCAGTTACGGGCCTGCTTGAATGGCCATCCCCAAGCATCGTCAGCAGCAGAGTACTCTGCACTGCGGAGCGTACAAACTGTAGATCGAACCCCGTTCCCAACAATATTATATATGTAGAGAACGAATGTGACCATGGCACTGCATCTCTTGGTGAACTTGTGATTCTAATGATGAACTCTGGACAGAAGAAACCAACTCTGGTCCAGAACAGGGGGTATAGTTGTGAAACTAAATCGGAGAGATTTTGATTTGATAGTTTTTACGTATTTTTGCAACAGGTTTCGAAGTGTTTTGGTTCTGTTATGCAAGATCTTTTTCGACCTTCTAAAGTAAAATTTCGGTGATAAGACCACCTAAAGTTACGTTTTAAATGTTACTATTATTAATTAGAACAGGTTTCGCTTTAGTTTTTATATTTTACGCTGACATTTATTGCTTTAAATTATCCGCGTGCAAAAATGGAAAATTGGAACTTTTGACCCCCGGGGTCACAAAGAACAAAGGTGAATTTAGCAAGTTTACATTTTTATTGAAAGAATGATTACCTTCGATCATTTTCAGCATGTTTTCATGATATATAAGAATGGCTGCGCCTTCACTTTCAGTGCAAATGACCTCATTTGACCTTTGACCCCCGAATATCTCGAAAACGCTCCAACAGCGGACTGATTACCACTCGGCATCGTATTCTACGCAAAATTGTACTCTAGAAATGTTGGTCTGGCTTTGTGCCCATTTGATGGACACACCCCCCCCCCCCCCCCCCCCCCCCCGCACTGAGCTTCCAGACTATATTCACAGTGAATCACTAGTGAGTGGGACGACAGACTGTAGAATTGTTATTTCTACTCTCACAAAACAGGCGAAATTGACGGACGGGCCTCAAGATTCTGTCACATTTCTTATCCTTTTGTTAAAGAGTTAAAGAGAATCTGATCCCAATTGTCATGACATTGACTAAAAAGTTTTCAGGCCCAGTCCCCAAAAATTAAAAGGTCAGTATTTTTTCGCGCCTGCGCCGCTAGATTCCATTATGACACCATTCTTCTACTCCTCTGTGGTCTTACACTGCCTCGGCACTATCATATTCACGGTTATAGTGAACTGCCCAGTTAGTAGTACCGCTGGTGCGTGGGTCGTGGGGCGACAGACTGTACAAATGTTCTGACAACTCTTGCAAAACAGGCGGAATTGACAGGGGCAGATTTCGAGATTCTATCCCACTGACTCCTATTTCTGGTTCTCTTAATTATTCACAAGAATTTGCTCCCAGCAATGCCCTCAAATGCCAGGATATTAATTCAATTTTTCAAAATTTTCTCAGGTTGCTCAGTGTTAGCCACTGCCCCAAAGGTTCACATAAATTTAATAACAAAATCAATAACAATCATCATATGACATAAACTTTATGTCAACTTTATGCTTTCCACGGAGATAACGATCGGCGAACAGCTACATGTATATGGGCAATACGATCTATGTTCTACCGGGACGCCCAGTGTTATAGTATAGCCAGTATTTTGTTGACATTTATTGTGGGGGTGTGATTGTGGATGGCGCCCACGATTTGGAACCGCCCCACTCCACCCCAATTCCCAGCTTCCAGATCAGAAACTGGCCCCTAGAAAACTATCATCTGTGGTGCTCGGCCCCTGACTGCGTCACTCGTATTAGGGACATGTGGCATTTTTGCTACCCCCCCCCCCCCAAACAAAATCTTTATGTACGCCCCTGTATCTGATGCTTAACGTCACCGGCTCGCCTCAATCCTCTGACTGATACGATGTATAATCTTCTTGGCAAAAGCCAATGCCAACCAGATAACAGAACACACGCACAGATGTGGCTGCTTCACTGATGATGAACAAACGAAACAGATACCGAAAGAAAACAGTTAACCTATTTAAATGTAATCTCGAGATTCCATTTAAATAAGTTGTTTTGTTTGTTTAAAAACATACCTTCATATTCATCTGGTAAACACTGGGATAAAGCTAAACTCTCATCTTGGAACTTGAGGCCCATTTAATTTGTTAGGGATAAACTCCTTCATTTAATCATCTATTTATTTTTTTATTCATTTATTAATACAGTTGTCAGAGGTTACACTTTTGGAATAATAAATTGATGTTTGGGGCAAACCATTGAGCATCGAGTATACGAATCCCTACTTCTTCTGAATAAACCCACATTTGGAGGTTTTGTGTCCGGTGAAAAGGGCGGGCCTTACGTTGCATTTATTTAAACTAAGGGTTGGGACGTGATTGGATCCCGGGAACCTTTGATTTTGGCTAGCTAGAACCTACATTTTTGCTTATAAGTCCCAAGATACTACATTTGTTGACGGACTTGACCTCATACTATATATTGGCGAGCTTAGTAAGATACATTTTTTGCAGACATAAGCCCCTCCTACTACACTGTGGTATTATTTGTACTAAACCAAAAGATGCCACTCCTAACGGTATAATTAGTGATAAAGCAATTTAAAAAATAAAACGAACGTAATTTCTAAAGCTGCTGTAATAACCAATAAGCTAAATATTACTGCTATTCAGATTTTTTACTGCTGTAATAGTTGATAGATGTGTAGAGAATTTCACGTGCGATGGCTATTTATAGCTTCATTGACTCTACCGCTTGGGTATTATCATACTGCGTAGTAAGCGAGAAATCAGTTAGAGACATGCCACTGAAGCGTGTACATTCGCCGTTTCGAGACAAATTTTCTGTACGGAAAATTTTGGGTGCGCGGGTTACCCTAACAATATATTTTTTACGGCTGTAATTGTTGATAGATGTGTAGAGAATTTCAAGTGCGATGGCTATTTATAGACTCATAGACTCTGTTATCGCACTGCGTGATTAGTCAGAAATCACTTCGAGACAAGCCACTGAAGCGTGCACATTCGCCGTGTCGAGTTCAACTTTCTATAACATGGGCCTGGCAAAGTTCGTCGTCCGAATCGTTTGACAACATTGTACAAAAAAGTGAATACAGGTTAAAAGAAAGACAACTGTCTAGTCGTTCGGATGGGACGAAAAACCGACGTCCCGTGTACACATTGGCGTGCACGTAAAAGATGCCTTGACAGTTGGAATTCGATAAAGAGTAGGCCACAGTGCCGCTGTCCGGGCAAAATTTCCCTCATAGCACACTGTATGGCGTATGCCCGTCTTCATTAGCCCAGTTCGGAGCAGAACAGTAAGACGTTAAACTCCATTTCATTTCATACGATAAGTTAAACATACATTATGCAAGAGCTAAATCTGCTTACTGCAGGTCTTTCTTTAGGCCTGAAATGTTATCTAAATTATTAATTAGACATTAATTAAACATGCATTATGCAAGAGCAAAATCTGCTTATTACAAGTCTTTCTTTAGGCCTGAAATGTTATCTAAATTATCAATTAGGCATTAATTAACTTATTCAGACCATAATAAACTCTCGATGTCAAGCCTAGCTTTCGATGTTGGCTGGATTAGATTTCTATATGCCGCTAACGGCCGTTGATAATTAAATCAGAAAAAGTGGATAATCGAGACTATGCTGTTTATATTAATGATTTTAGTAATGATGACCGAGACTATGCAAAAATTTCATCCGCTTCTTTCTCGGCTCATAGTGGATCAATTTGACTGAAATTTTCAGCAAATTACCTTTACACTATCTAGTTTTTAACTATTATAGCGAGAACTGCCATCTCTTTATCTTATCTCCCATAATGTATCTTTAACTTATCCAGACCATAATCAACTCTCGATGTCATCGCTTGCCTGCGATGTTTATTGGATTAGGTTCCGATATGCTGTTCGACTTCCATTCATGAACTAATCATGAAGTGGATAATCGAGACTATGTTTTTTTATCGTAGGCTACCTACTTTAGTAATGATGATCGAGATTAGGCCGAACATTTAATCGCTAAAATCTCGGATCAGAGTGGATCAATTTGACTGAAATTTTCAGCAAATTCCATTTACATTATCTAGATTTTAACTGTTATAGTAAGAATTGCCAGCTCTTTATCTAATCTCCCATAATGTATCTTTAACAAGAAGATAACATCATGGACCTTATGTATATAAGGTTCATGATAAAATGCGAGGTGAGCTGATAAGATTAGAATGTTTTAAAGCCAGGCTCACACACATGAAAAAGTCATAGCGTAAGGATGTCTGCGATCTGATTTTTTCTAACAAACTATATTTGAGCGTAACGTAGACAATCGTGGCCTATCGCAGTTTCGAACATGCTCAAAAATTTCAAATCGTATCATTGCTGAGAAACCTTTATTGCTGCGTTAAAACATGGCTAATCGCAGTCTGTGAGAGCAATAGTTAAGGCCCGGTCCCATTGCACTTACGGATGCAAAGAGGATGTAAAACGGGGAAAAAACGTGCCCTCCGTTTGAAAACGCCATGCATCCGTTGTGTACTCATTGCATACGTGTTTCATACGCTCTATCCATCAGGCATCCGTTCACTTTGATTTCATCCGCGCAAAAAGTTTTGAGCTGCACAAAACTTTTATAACGGATGAACTTTCTGCCGTGTACGATGTAAATGCGCGACATATACGAGCACCAAACGTTCCATGTTCGTTATCATCCGTTAAACGTCCACTGTATCCTCTCTGCATCCTCTGGGTATCCTCGCAACTCACATCCGCTCTAGCTGAAAACGGAAAGAGGGAGGAAAGATAAGGTACATGGAACGTCTATACATCGTTAGTAGCACGGAAATAGAAAGAATGTAAGCGTATGCATCTCGTATATAATGTTTTCAAAACGGACAAAGCGTTTGTATCTTGGATGTATCTGGTATATTGAAGGATGTCTGGAGTTTGCCTAACCCCTTCGGAGCTGTCATCCACTTACATCCGCTTTCATCCGCTAGGCTTCCGATGAACAATTTTGTCCATATCTGGAGCGGATGAAAACGGATGGAGCCACCCCGAAAGTTTGCTCGTCCGCTGTGTCCTTTTTGCATACGTTTTGTGTCCATCGGCCACTGGGACTGGGCCTTAAATCGCAGCGTGTGTGGGTAGGTTTAGTCAAGCCTGCGATATACTATGCGACAACTAGTTAAGATAAAGAGAATGTCGTTACGTAGTGAACATGGGAGTGTATTAGATCGCCTTTACTCCGGATGACCTCATTATTTTTCGTTACAGCGATCAGCTAGAAAAATGCACTTTTCATGAATAACGAACACGTCTCTCCCTCTATTTGTCTTCCTTAGCTCCGATGGTGCAGAAAAGTGAGGTGTCAACCCCCATTTTATTTCAGAATTATGGATATTCATGAAACTGCAAGAAAAGGCTTCCAACAGGTAGGAGAGAGTACGATTGTGAGCCATTCTGTGATATTGTAAATCATAACAAAACCCGCATTGTCGTGGTGATAGTATTGATTATTTTGTTCATTCACATAGATTGGTGCAGTTATTTGCGTACTAGAATTTGGTCATTTAAAGCGGGAATTTCATATTTTATAAGAAAGTCAAAACATAATTATTTCTGTCTTTTGCTCAATAGGTTTTCAACTCACTATTATACGACCATTTTCATTATTTCCCACCCTTAAAAATCATTGACACAGGAAATAATAATACAATTACCTCCCTTGTTTTCCTATTGCCTCCATGCATTAGCTACCTTCAAACGTTGGAATTTGAAGTTGAAAATGATATTTTTGCCAATTTCTCAGCTGGCAGTAGTGAATTATAGGATTATTCTTTAACAAGGCAGGACGATTTATGATTGATACCATCTATTTTAAGGCTTTATTTTAATAAATTTTAAAAATATATCTTAAAAATATGAAATTGCAGCTTTAAAGTGCGTATGGCTATATTCTTTGGAACCTTAACATAGACGAAAATATGTCTAAAAGCACATATTAATGTAATGTGAATGTATCTAAAATGATGTATATGCAACATATAATTTTTTTATTGTAATTTCTAATCAATTAAGTTCGGTGAAATACATTAATAGTCCAAATCGAAAGGCAGTCATTTACTCCTGCTTAGTCCGTTATACGCGTTTGTTTATTATGTAGAACCATGGGTCTTTTGTCAGACGAGGAAAGCGGGCCTCCAAATCCGGTCGCCACATCCTACGTATGACCCATGCACTCTCCTCTTACTACCAGGGGCGGATTGGGGCCGGGAACCGGCCCGGGCTCCCGTGTCGGAGCGGCCCCTTTTACTGACTGCGGAGCTCGGACGGGGGGTCCGGGGGCTCTCCCCCTGGAAAATTTTGAAAAATTAACCCCAAATATACGATTTGGTGGCATATCTGATTATAATCTCTGCCAAATATTGGAGTTACGAACCATCGGCAGACGTTTCTGGCGTATCCCCACAAACAGGGTGCAGGTGACTTAATAATTAGTAAATTTGCTGGCGACAGTTTCGGGTGAATCCGATGAAATTTTCGGACGAAATTCCGAATCCCCATTGCAAGATTGCGAATTCCGGCCTACATCCAGCACACCCGGCCCAGAAAGCCTATTATACCAGCCCATCCACACATGATCATCATCGTTCCATGGCCAGACCAATACATCCCCCCCCCCCCTATAATGTTCAGCAGAAAAAGGGTTTTTTAGACAAATTGGACAAAATTATTTTTTTCATTTTGTGTTCGACCGGCCCTTCGGGTGATCGCCCGATGGCCCAATCCGCCCCTGCCTACTACATATCTGAATAGCCTTGTGATTGTCTAGCATTTGTAATTCTCTTCTTTGGGTTCCCCCTTGTGATGCAGAACGGAGGGCCTGACAAGTACAGCTGTCTAGTCGTTCGCATGGGGTGAAAACCGAGGTCCCGTGTACACATTGGCGTGCACGTAAAAGATCCCTTGACAGTTGGAATTCGATATAAGAGTAGGCCGTACTGCCGCTGTCCGGGCAAAATTTCCCCCATAACACACTATATGGTGTAAGCACGTCTTCATTATCCCAGTTTGGAGCAGAACAGTAGGACGTTAAACCCCATTTCATTCATTCATTCCCCTTTAATCGCGCAAGACCTGCAATAGGGTAAACCAAATGATAAACAGTTATTCTGATTATCCGTCAATTAGGACAAAATCATCTCGCAATTACGACAAACAAAATTAGCTCCTAATTACGACATACAGGATAATTTTAAACTAGCTGTCTGTCGTAATGAGAGCATGAAAATAATGAGAGCACGATATTAATGAGAGCATGGTATATTAATTAGAACATGGTTTGTGAATGATATTAATGAGGGTTGGGGGGAATGGAGACCTCTTTAACGTCGCTTTCTGTTTTAACGAGAACGTGAAAATAATGAAAGTATGACACTGATGAGAATACGTATGTAATTAATGAACGATATTAATGAGATCAAGGAGCGATTGAGAGCATTTTATTACGAAATCATGAAATAAATGCGTCTATTCCGACACATTACCAGTCGCATTAATTTCAATATTCATCTTTTTTCTGTAACATAAAATAAATATACGGCGTCGGCCTAGCTACCCGGTAAATCAGTAAATATGTAACTGCATTGTGACCGTAAAATTATCTGGTAATTACGAGTTAATTATGTTGTAATTACTAGCTACTGATGTCGTACTCTAATAAATTACCATATATTTATACAGGGGTCAGCATATGATGCGTACAGACCAAGCTATTCTGATGAGACTATAGACTTTGTATTAGATGTGGTAAGAGAAGTGGAAATACTATCTCAGCAAGGTTAGTGTGTATACTATTATAGCCCCACAGATTAGAAACATTTTCTAAATACAAGGGTAAATTCAACTCTTACATTCACGATGAGCAGCTATTTTCGTTTTAACAGCTGATTGGCTAGCGAGCAAAGCATACAAGCCAATGGAAGCCTATAATACGAATTATAACCAATGTAAATGTCGCGCATTATTAACATGTTGGTTAAATGTAGGGGGTTGGGTGGTCTAGTGATTTAACACGTGCGCGTGAAATCACAAGGTCTGTCATTGAGTCAAATGGCGTGGTTGCGAATTCCCGCTTGCACGTTACAAGGAGTAGGGTCGCCTCTCCACCCTCATGCGGTTTCTCCATTTTCTCCGGTTTCCTCCCACATCTAAAGACCCCTACGCGCAAGCGAATGATTTGAAATAAAATTGATCCATATGACCTAGTTTGTGTCGAGTGGACGTTAAATCACACTTAAATATAACTTCTCGACACGAGTGTTAAAGTAGCTAAGTCTGTAAATCAATATCATCCAAAGTCTTACACGTTGAAAACACTAATTATTTGTCAATTCAAATCAACATTGATGTTGTTATCTTGCTGGGAAAAGGTAGGCTTCTGATATTCAATATTTAAGACAAAATAAACATTTTACCATTGGTACACGAATCGTGTACCATAGTGCGTTTCATTGTCATTTGTAACAAGTGACCAGAAAGAACGAGGCTAAACATATTCCACAACTCATGTCAAACGGCGACGGCTTAACTTATCTGGAGAGCATGCGCAATAGACTGGAATAACCAGACGCCAGAAATTTCTTTTCGGTTGAGACTCATGCCGTATTTCGCTGGACATAACTGATTTGAAATTAGAGTCAAAACGGAAACAATTGAATGTAAATCAGTTCATATACGATCAGATTGCATTATTATATGCGTTGCGATCCATTTGGGTCAATTTCTAGGTCCCAAATATATTAGCGATTTAGCTCCTTTAACGTTTGATACACATTTTAATTCTGACTATAAATTCGTTCTCTTAGAGACATGGTCTACCAAGAACTATAGCAATGAGAACAGAGTTGTAATGCAAATTCTAATCTATGCTAATTTATTTAATTTGTATTCAGAAAATAATATCAAATATGATATAATTGAACTTGGAGACGGAACTGACATATTTAGTAGATAAAAAATCAAGTAATGCAAGTTGTAATGCAAATTTTAATCTCATGCTAATTTATTTATTAATTTGTGTTCAGAAAATAATATCAAGTATGATATAGTTGAACTTGGAGCGGGAACTGGTAAATTTAGTAGAAAACTATTAAGTAAAATAGTAAGTAGTCTACTTTATTGGAATTGTTATGTAAATTACATGCATACATATAGTAAATAGTAAGTAGTCTACTGTTATTGGAATTGTTATGTAAATTACATACTATACATATGATATTTCAATGGCGACGATCCAATACAAATAGAGTACACTGTGTAGCACCATGGGTCTTTTGTCAGACGTGGAAAGCGGTCCACATACTAATACCGGTCGCGCGCGCATATCCTACGTATGACCCATGCATCATCGTTTCTTACTCCATATCTTAGTAGCCTTGTTAGTTAAGACGCTTGTCTTACCAGGAAGAACAATGCAACAGTTCGTTTTAACATTTTATATACCTGTTACAGTATACAGATATTACGTTCAGATCTTTAGTCATACATGTCTTATCACATCTCCTCGAAAGGCCCTTTTCCTGCACAGCCCATGTACATTACAATCATTTAAATATTTAATGGTTTTCAAAGATCTCTTATTCAACTTTTATAGTTAGAGTCGAAACATTAATTGTGGTTTCCTGCAATTATAGGTTCAGACCAAGTTTAGAAACCAAGAGGATTCAAAGTTACTCAACACTGACGATAAGGGTTAGCGCCGTTAGGATATATATGGGAGTGAGTCCCGCCTCTCTTTACTCACTCACACTGTATATACCAGCTCCCGAAATAAACGTCTGTTGTTCTTAAAAGTATTATTTTCCTCAAGATACGTCTAAACTACACTATTTCTATTTTGATATTTTAATTGTCTTATTGTAATATTTTAATTGTCTTATATTTTATGTATATTACTTTATATTTGAGGAGCAAATAGAATAGTCTCTAATATTAAGCATACAATGTTGGTGTACATTTTAAAGACTACATAATTAGTGTATGCGTTAATAATGAAATCTTTGTTTCATTAATAATATCCACGAGCGTATTGGGTGACATACAAACGATGTACAATGTTCCAAGTAGAACTCTACATCTCACCCAGCTCTAATGGATTATATAGATTACATCTAGAATTAATAATGTAAATATTCTGCAAATATTACACGCACGCCTGCATGCTCCGTATAAAGGACTTTGCGTGTAAATGGTAATCTCTCCAGAATCCAATGAAATCTGCTCCTAAAAGAGCAGTCTCTTTTATAGGACCCATATTGGTATTGGCCCTTGAAGTCTATCACGCTCAGATATGTGCAATTACTGATTTGATAGGATGGTAAGCCAGATGATGCAATAGGAAAATTTCCAATCACGTGTGATCTGGTGATATTTTGTTGACACATAGAACCAATTAGTTTTAGTTCTATAACTCTTTTTATGTGTCAACCTGTCACTCATATTTGAGTGCATTAGATACGACTTCTATACAATGTGTTAACTAAATTACTTATTAAAGATATAATATAATGCCATCATTAATTAAACATACATTATGCAAGAGCTAAATCTGCCTATTGCAAGTCTTTATTTAAGCTTCAGATGTTATAGAAATTATTAATTAGACTTTTATTTACACGACAAGCTTAAAATCAACTCTGTAGACCCACGGATGGCTTGAATACGGTTTGGATTTAAAGAGCCTCGTCCATTTAAAATTAAATCAATAAATGGCGGACCAAGCTATCGTTTACCGTTACTCGCTGATGTCACAACCGGAAACTGGTGATGAAAAGCCTGCCAAGCGAGGCTACCATAGCCATTGAGCATGTTACTTGATAACCGAGAATACGTGGATGGAGTTATCGTTTGTCAATCAAACGATCGCCAATTCTCATAGACGGTGAAGACAGAATTGATGCCTATTTCTAGTCCAAACTTCCAACAGTGACAATTCCGTTCAAAACAAAGTAATTTGACTGAAATTTTCAACATTTCTTTTTTTATCATCTATTTTTGAATTATTATAGCAAGAATGGCCATCCTTTTATAAAACTCTTAACTAATGTATCTTTAAAAAAGCAAAAATTCTACAATAATGCTACAAATGTAGTGTTAAACACAATAGGCTATAGTTCAAGATTCAACTCATTATAGCCATCGGTCCAATACAATAATCAAACTTGAAAGGTGAAATACTGGGTTATGTCAAATGTGGGTCACAACTACTAGAAAATGAGTAAAAAGTCCATCCGGTAAAAAGAATAATGGGCTTGAATAGGACTTCCTACGAATTAAATCACATATTTAGATACAATCTCTAATAGGCATCTTAAGTTGAACAAAAAGATCAAACACGCATGGACTTAATTTATTCCGTCTTGCAATCATACAGTATTCACAAAAGTTTTCAAGTCCACGATTAGAAGATGAGCATCCACGCATGTGTCCTCGTTGTACACCATTTAAACACGCGCACGCACCCACCCACTCACCCATATGTACATGTGGATGACATGCAATAATCTTACTCTCTTAATATAATGCAGATATTTTGAGTATGCTTCGTTTGTATCAGACACCAGTGCCAATAGGTAACCTTAATTGTGTTTGTCTCAATGTTATAAACTTTTAAAAGCTTTTATTATTTAAGCAAGATTTGTTTATTTCTCGTTTGTCTAAAATAGATGATTATTTTGTTTAGAAGCAAGAGAGGTTTCTGGCTACTGAGCCATTAGAGGGATTTCTGGAAACTTTGAAGGCACAAAGCCCTGGTGTGGAATCCCTACAGTGTGCTGCAAATGATATCCCATTGCCAGATAAGTCTGTGAAGGTTTGTAATTCACTGAATGATATTCTTATTTTAAAGCGCACACGCGCGTTAATGTGATCGTATATTGTCATCACCGCCGCTGCCCGCCCGTACATGCGTGTACTCAGTCTACAGAACTGAATTATTTACGGATTGTCATTAAAGTAGCTAAGTCTCTAACTCAATATCATCCAAAATCTTCAACATTGAAAACACGATTTATTTGTCAAATTAAATCAACATTCATGTTGTGATCTTACCGGGAAAAGATGGGCTTTTGGTATCCAATATTTAAGACAAAATAAACATTTTACCATTGGTACACGAATCGTGTACCATAATGCGCTTCAGCCCCAGTTGTATCAAGAGACTCGAGGGACGAGGCTAGACACATTGCACCAAATCAAACAGCGTATGTAGACTGGAATAACCAGACGCTAGAAATTTGCACTCGCTTGAGACTGCTGGCTTATTTCGCCGAACATAACTGATTTGAAATTGGAGTAAAAACGGAAACCATTGAATGTAAATCAGTTTATATACATTCATATTACAGTATTATAAATTTGCTGAAATAGGTATGACCCCTGGCTGTTAACAACTGTGTTGGTTACTCACTCTACAGAGTTTTATTTTTACAGAATGTTCGTCTGTGGTAGATTTCGAAAAAGTCATTTTGTATTAGTTTTCCTTATTTTCCGTCAAAAATGACACTATAGTATTTGAAATATTACGCAGTACTTGTATGGAACAGAAAAGACCAAGACTTTCCGTGGGTCAATGAATTTTGCAAGAAGATACACAGTTATAAAGGAGACAATCCACCACCTCAGTATGCTGATATGAAATGGAAGGAAGTTTTTCATCAAGTCAGATCTATTCAATATGTACAAGATTACAGATTGCAAGGTGTCAGATTTGAGGTAATATATATTCAGACATTATAACTATTACTCGTGATTCCCACTGGAATTAATGGCAAGGACCCGAATTCGTATTTAATCGAATGTTGTAGCACTACTAAGCGTAAATGCAATATGATCCAGTCGGGGAAAAGCTGGATGTAGTGATATGTTATTCAATTAATGTTAGTGGGAAGATTGTGTATATAAGAGTGGGTCTATATCAACAGAATCAATATATTATTGGCATTGGAGAGTCGCAAAATTTGTTAGGGAGCAGGATTTATATTACAAACGTTATCTTACCTTTTAGTGTGTGAGTAGGCCATCGGTTCTCCACTACTTGGCTATCCTTTGTAAACTTTGGAAGAAACAATCAAGTACTCGGTTTGGTCACAATCTCGGTACTACACGTGATATTCCATGTTTATACCAAAGTACTAGCAAGACCAAGCTCTGTAGAGATCTAATATAATAAATTTCATTTCAATATATTTTTTTCTTTTAAAGGGTCCAATAGATTTTGTGTTAAATAATGCTTGTTCAATAAGCTACATAACCAACTTGGAGGATGACAAGAAAACACTTGCAAGAGAGGAACTAAAGAAAATACTTTTAAAACACCATAAAGAGAGTGCAACAATAGTTGTACCTCATTATACCAGATTATATCTCTACAAAAAAATAAACTGATTTTAAAATACCCTTGACAATGTGTTGTGTTTTGCAAAAACGGTAGCATACCCATAGTTTAAAACAACCCTGCACGAAGTTGGTGATTGTACATTTACGTCTTGGTTCAGACCGTACATTAGGTTCCCCGATGACTTACACTGTCTCCGTGTTTTGTCACATTTGAGTCTGTCTTTCAGTTGGGTGTGGTGCGGTCCTCCTGCAAAGACTGTGAAATACCAAATATTACGTTTATTACCGAAAACATCCAATCTGTCATTTTGTCAGTCCGTCAACCTGAATGAATCATTTTCCCGGACTTCTTTCGGTAATGCTCATCGATCATGATGTGGAATTTCACCCGATGGCCGAGATTTAAATGGATTAGAGCACTCGCGAGATTTTAAACTTTAACGATAAAATGGGTGATCTAGACTCACTCTCGGTTGTCAATGTACGCTACATCTTAAAACACTCACTACTTCGCTCAGAATAAAGCAATGTGAATAAAATTTTCAATATACATGTATCCAGTTTTCATTATCTAGTTTTGAACTAAAGAACGACCGGTTCTTTATCTTAATCTTACATATGCATCTTTTAGCTACTTTTAGAGTAATTGCGGACTTACAAAACATTTCCAATTATTGTTCTTTTATGCTCCAGTGTACAGCGTTTTAAAGATTTTATTTTGAACGATAAAGGAAATGCAGTGTTAATTCAATACTCTGAGAATGGTTGATTATATGTTACCCCATGATGTAGGTGCAGTGAACATTGCACATATAAAATGGATATTACACATATGAAATGGACAATGCACATACATAATGGGCATTACATATATAAAATGGACAATATACATACAAAAATGGCCAATGCACATAAGAAAAATTGATAACTATCAATAGTTAAACATGAATTCACTTGAATTTTGAATACCCCCCCCCCCCCCACACACACACACACACACACACACACACACAACCCACCCGAACAACCCACTCTGCCCAACTCACATAAAAATGAAATGAAATGGGATTTAACGTCCTACTGTTCAGCCATACAGTGTGCTATGGCCTATTCTTATATTGAATTCCAACTGCCAAGGGATCTTTTCCGCGCATGCCAATGTATACACGGGACCTCGGTTTCGTCCCATCCCGACGACTAGACAGATGTCCTTGCCAGGCCCTCCGTCCTGCACCACTGACAAGAGAAACCACGTCAGAAAATCCCGATGAACTTTCTCGGCCAATGCAGGGATCGAACACCCGACCTTCAGGCTAGCGAGCCAGCGTCTTACCCACTTAACCACCTTGGCCACACAACACAACACAACACACGAGAAACAAACCCGAAACAAACCCAAACCAACAAACATGTATATGTATTTTAAGTTATTGTATGGAGTCTGCATACAATTGCGCAATTGCCACTCTGCACACAGGGAACTACTGTATCTACTTTGAGGATAGATCTCTACCCGGAATGGCAGTATGCTATGTAGTCTTGTGGTCGTTTTAGTGTTTAACATCTTACCAGGGCCTAAAATAAGGTTAAATTCTCAGAGCACGGATTTAGAGTCGACCGCCCGCGAGCGCCGCAGGCGCGAAACGCGCCGGCGGGTGGTCTGGCACTCCCGCCCTCCAGAAAATTTTGAAAATTGAGAGCTTGAAACCGACATCTGTGGACTATTCTGGTGCAGTTTACATAGGAATTTATTTTGTCGCGAGCAGCTTTTTTCGCATGAAAACTAAGCACTAGGAAGACAACACATCACTTTCGTTACGATAATACAGAACTGTAAGTCCATTCGAGCTCCGGTTTCCCATCCATATTTCAATACTTAAAATCGCAGATAACACCGAAAATACGTGAAAATAAGTCAAAAACAAACTTTTTCAAAGTGAAAGTGAAATGACGGTCAAGGTCGCAGCGGAGCGGACTGGATACCAAGCCTACTGAAAAACCTGACTAGTATGCTGATGCGGCTGGCGCTCACTCGACTCATCCGAGGTAGTCGCGAGTGAGCGCCAGGTGATCTGATCTGATCTGTGCAACTGACCACACCACAAGAACACAAGAAGAAACACCCAATTAGGGGTCAGGAGGCATCGCTGACTACACTTTTTTAGAGCACTACACCATTTTTCTGAGCACGGTTTTCTTATTTTCGAAGCACGGATTTTTCATTTCGAGGCACGTTCGTGCTCCAAGGCACGTTATTTTAGGCCCTGCATCTTACATACACACACAGACTAAATAAACATTTCGATTGTATTAAAAATGAACTTGGGTTTAACGTCCTACTTTTCTGCTCCGACTGGGCTAATGAAGACGGACATACGCCATGCAGTGTGCTATGAGGTCAATTTTGCCCGGACAGAGGCACTACGGTCTACTCTTACATCGAATTCAAACTGCCAGGGGTTCTTTAACGTACGCCCATGTATACACGGGACCTCGGTTTTTCGTCCCACCCGAACGACTGTACAGTACTTTGTCCCTTCTCAAGCCTTCTGCCCTACACCACTTACAAGGGACCACGTCAGAAAATCCCTCGTCTTACGCAGGGATCGAACACGGGACCCCCAGTTTAGCGAGCCAACGTCCTACTAACCGAGACACTCGATTGTATTAAAAGTAAATAAAAGAAGTCAAAATGAATACTCCTCAATTTTCTCGAAGTATACATTATAGCCTATGTTTCCGACTGAAATCGTCAATTTAGGAATTAAACATACATTATTGAGCTAAATCTGCGTATTGTAAGTCTTTATTTAGGCTTCAGATGTTCTAGAAATTATTAATTAGACCTTTATTTACATGACAAGCTCAAAATCAACTCTGTAGACCCTCGGATGGCTTGGATAGAGCTTGGATTTAAACTGTCGTCCATTTAAAATTAAATCAATAAATGGCTAACCAAGATAACGTTTACCGTTAGTCGCTGACGTCGCTACCGGAAACTGGTGATGAAAGGCCTGCCAGGCGAGAGTACCATTGCCATTGAGAATGTTAATTGATAATCGAGAATATGTGGGTGGAGTTATCGTCTGTCAATCAAACAATCGGAAATTCTTGTAGACGGTGCAGACATAGTTGATGCCTATTTCTAGTCCAAACTTCCAACAGTGACAACTCCGTTCAAAATAAAGTAATTTGACTGAAATTTTCAATATTTTCTTTTTTATCATCTATTTGTGAATTATTATAGCAAGAATAGCCAACTCTTTATTAAACTCTTAACTAATGTATCTTTAAGATGTCGGTCAATTAGTTTCAGAGGAATATTTGTCTGGGTGATAGAGACTATTAGTTTCGTCTGTTCAAACATCAGTATGATATACAGTAATGCGGTTCTCATCCGTTTTACATCTTTCATACACACAAAGACTAATCAAACATTTTCGATTTTATTAATTTTAAGAAGGCAGAATAAATACTTCTCAAGTTTCTCGAAGGAAGGGCCTACATATTAAGTTTAAATCGTCGGTTTAGGAATTAAAGTGTCGGTCACTTATTAGTTTCGTCTATTCTCAAGCGGAGGTTATTGAAGACAGAGTAACAACTTTCGTATGTGTAATTGTAAGCCTTGTTATTCCACATGCTCATATACCGTCTAAATGTTTGAGTAAGTTCAGTTTGATAACATAAAGACGCTAATTGAATTCCGATATTTTCCAGAGTTATTTCCGAGGTAGACATTTTAGTTGGAAAGCGCTAGACTTGGTATTCGCGATGATCGAGGAATCTGATAGGCTCTCAACCTGGGTGAATGCCCAATCGAAATTAGTGCCGAAATATCCAGGGTATTAAGTGAAGGCCTTGATAAGATATACGGAGTTAAAGCGAGATCAAGCCTTCTATTGAAGATGCCGGAACATGTAGGAGCTAAAACGCTAACATTTGGGACCTAGAAATTGACAAAAGTGGGTCGCAACGCATATAATACGGTAGTATGAATGTATAAAACTGATTTACATTCATTGTGTTCCGTTTTTACTCCAATTTCAAATCAGTTATGTTCGGCGAAATAAGCCAGCAGTCTCAAGCGAGTGCAAATTTCTAGCGTCTGGTTATTCCAGTCTATATACGCCGTTTGATTTGGTGCAATGTGTCTAGCCTCGTCCCTCGAGTCTCTTGATACAACTGGGGCTGAAGCGCATTATGGTACACGATTCGTGTACCAATGGTAAAATGTTTATTTTGTCTTAAATATTGGATATCAAAAGCCCACCTTTTTCCGGTAAGATCACAACATGAATGTTGATTTAATTTGACAAATAAATCGTGTTTTCAATGTTGAAGATTTTGGATGATATTGAGTTAGAGACTTAGCTACTTTAAGTCAAACCTTAAAATATTTATTTACTATACCTGACCTTGTGAAACCTCGTTATGGGATTTTCACCTTAGTGAAAGGAAAACGTCATTTAGTTTCCGTAATTTACGAAACTATCTAATTGTTTACTTTTTATTACAGGGAACCATAGAATATTTGTTGGATCTGCTTTCGACATACAGCTATATAAAGTCTATGGAAACAGATGAGAAATCGAGAGTTCTCTCGGAATTTAGACAAATAATAGAGAAATATCACTCTAACAGTTCTTATGTTAATTTACCTAATTACTTCCATGTGATTTGTTACAAGAAAATTATGAAATAAACCGTAAAAATAAAACACTATCTTGCAAGACTAAACGCAAATACTTTACTAAATGGGCCCCTTCTCCCCACACACTCTGATACTTTTAGACATTCTAATTACCTTATTAGAATGCTTGATCTCGCTTTAACTCTTGTTTTATCAAGGCCATCACGTTATATTTTTCCTCGCTAATTTCGATTGGTCATTCACCCAACTCCCGACCTCTCAGATTCGTCCATAGAAAATATCATCGCGAATACCAAGTCTCACACTTTCCAACTGAAATGTCTAGCTCTTGCAAATTTCAAGGTTCGTACAAAGTTGCTTTTCCGCTATGATTATGCCATGGCCCATTTCACATCTTAGTCCAAGCCAG